CTCTGTCTCTGTCAAATAAGTAAATAAAATCTTAAAAAAAAAAAGTCACATGCTCTATGGACTAAGCCAGCCAGACGCCTCTGCTGGCCTGGTTCTGTATAGGAGGAACTGGAGCGTGGGGTGTTGAGGGACATGCCAGCCCGGCCCCGCAGGGAACTGAGTAGAAGTAGGCAGCCTCCCAGCTCCCAGAGGCCTCCTGCTGCACACAGCCTCTTCCCTGCCGAGCAGAGGAGTTCCGGGAAACTTAGTCGGCCTGAGATGAGGTCTCCATGAGCCCCTCTTCTGTTGGTTTCCAAAGAGGACATGCCTTCCAAGACCCACCAGGCTCTACTCCCTCAAAGGGCAATGTTTATTTATTTTATTTTTTAATTTTTTTTAAAGATTTTATTTATTTATTTGAGAGAGAGAGAATGAGAGAGAGCATGAGAAGGAGGAAGGTCAGAGGGAGAAGCAGACTCCCTGCTGAGCAGGGAGCCCCATGCGGGACTCGATCCCGGGACTCCAGGATCATGACCTGAGCCGAAGGCAGTCGCTTAACCAACTGAGCCACCCAGGCGCCCTATATTTTAATTTTTTAAAAGATTTTATTTATTTATTTGACAGAGACAGAGAGGGAACACAAGCAGGGGCAGAGGGAGAGGGAGAAGCAGGCGCCCCACAGAGCAAGGACCCCGACATGGAGCTCGATCCCAGGACCCTGGGAGCATGACCTGAGCCGAAGGCAGACGCTTAATGACTGAGCCACCCAGGCGCCCTAGAGGGCAGTGTTTAACCCAGCCCATCATACTCACTTGTCAAAAGTGATGGGACCTGAGCTGATGGCCTGGCAACCCCGCAGACCATTCCCCAGCACCTTTTGCTTCCTGCTCCCTGCTCCAGGGCCCCTACCTCCCTGGGAAGCAGCACCTAGAACTGAGCCAATGTTCAGGATGACTTAGAATCAGCACCTCAATGGGCTCCCCCCAAGCTCCAGGGCACTGGCTTCTGAGGTGTGGGGGGGGTGGGAGCCTAGCCAATTTCACTCTTCAGGCGAGGCAGCGCTAGCGTGGGACCCAGGGTGGCGCTCTCCCACCCCCCCAGCCTTAATTTCCTCATCTGTAAAATGGGGGTCATTATTTGCACCTGGGCCCTTTTGGGTGGATGATTCCCATCTCAGTGGGTCCCCTGGGGAGCACATCTCTACAAGAGGGCCCAGGAGGATGGAGTGAACATGCTGGGGGGCTGCCGTGAACCACACCCAATCTCCAGGCTTTCCTGGGGCACCCAAGTGGCCACCCAGAGACAAACAGCTTTGGAAGTCTGGCTGTGGCGGGACGCCCTCTGCTGGACATCGGAGAAAGTGTCTCTTGGACTGCCTTTCTCTGCTCCTCTCCGTTCAGCCCCACAGATTCTTGCTAGGCCGGCTGAACACCCACAATACCCCAGGACTGGGAGGGACTACGATGGGGCAAAGCAAAGTTCTGGGGCAGATAGGGAATGAGACCACTGGGTCTGCAGGAAGGAAACTGGGCTCAGAGTCAAACCTGTGTTCAAACCCCAGCCCCATCACGTGTGCCCCTGGACCAGTTACTAGATCTCTCTGAACCTCAGTTGCCTCATCATCAAATTGCATTAATACTCATATCTACCCTGTGGGGTTATTGCCAGGATTAGGTGAGATAATGTAGAGAAATGCCTGGTTCCTGGCACACAGTAGAGATGTAGGAAAGACATTAGGATTCGAAACTGACAGCCAAGAAAGAATTCTTGAGACATCTTTGGTGCAAAAAGGTGGTTTTATTAAAGCACGGGGACAGGACCCGTGGGCAGAAAGAGGAGGGGTCATGAGGAGTGGCCCATTATAGACTTTCAAGTTGGGAGGGGGTTAGGGATAGTGTAAGTCTCTAAGGAATTTTGGAAGTAAGGCTTCCAGGACTTTCAGCGGGCAAGCTATTGTTAGGAAAAGGTCATTTTACTATCTAGTAAAACCTTAGTCATGAGACCCTTCAGATGTATATTGGTAGGCCCTGTGCTTGGGGGATGATTGCCAACACGTGTCTTGGGGGTTTAGAGATAAAGGAAATTTCTAAAGGAATTTTTATATGTTAAAGTAGACTCACAGGATGGGGGTAGGGTGGGGTCAGGCTAGCATTGCCTTTTGCCCTTAGGAGGAATTAACATCAAGGAAGTTGAGTTCCTAGAGGAATATCACTCTGCCTGTTTCAGACTTGTGAATGGGCTGTAGGTAGCCAGGAAATTTAGTGATTTTTTCTTCTGCCTTTGTTTCCCACATCAAGTAGGTGCTCAATAAACATAAAAGTGATTTCAAGGAGAAACCAATCCAAAGAGTGGTGGGTGTGTTTTGTTTTTTTTTAAGATTTATTAATTTATTTTAGAGAGAGCGCACAAGTGGGGGGAGGGGCAGAGGGAAAGGGAGAGAAGCAGACTCCCCCCTGTGCAGGAACCTGACTCAGGGCTCAACTGCCGCTCCATCTCATGACCCTGAGATCATGACCTGAGCCAAAACCAAGAGTCAGACACTTGACGGACTGAGCCACCCAGGCGCCCCCAAAGAGTGGTGGGTGTTTTAGACCATGAGCTGCAGTGAAGTTTCAGAGTCTGGGTGGGGTCCCAGTCCCTCGGCTCGTCTCCTGGCAGGAGGGCTTCACCCTGCACTGGGGGCTTTGGCACATGAGGCTCCCTGAGGTCCCCCCCCGGGGGGCAGGCAGGCAGCGAGGGCTGGGTGGGCCAACCGCCCAGAGCTCCCCGCATAAGGTCTTGCAGGCGCAGCTGTGCCCTTACCTGGTCCCTGTCTCTGTGCCAACCTGGAAGCTCAGCGAGGGCAGCAGTCAGGGAATGGCTCCATATACCACTTCCTCACCGGATGACTTCCCTGTCTGAGCCTCCCTCATCTGTATAATAGGGATGAAAGCAGGGGGCACCTGGCTGGCTCGGTGCAGCCTACGACTCTTGATCTCGGGGTTGTAAGTTTGAGCCCCACGGTGGGTGTAGTGATAACTTTAAAAAATAAAATCTTTAAAAAGAAAGAAAGAGGGGTGCCTGGGTAGCTCTGTCAGTTAAGCCTCTGCCTTCAGCTGGCTCAGGTCATGATCCCAGGGTCCTGATGGGCTCCCTGCTCAGCGGGGAGCCTGCTTCTCCCTCTCCCTCTGCCCTGCCCCTGGCTCATGCCTACAAGCTCCCTCTTTCTGTCTTGCTCACTCTCTCTCAAATAAAAAAATAAAAACCTTTAAAAAAATAGGAAGAGAGAGAGGAAAGGAGGGAGGGAAGGAAGGAGCGAGCACCAACCTCACAGGGCCGTTGTCAGGATCCACTGGAATAATCCACAGGAGACCCTGAGAACATTCCTCAGCACAGGGGGAGACAGAATAGCCCTGTAACCCCGGACAACTTGCCTCCACTCTCTGAGAGAACAGGTAGGTCCCTTCTCTGGGTGCCTGGCACACAGTAGGCGCTCAATACACGTGTGCTTACTTGCTCTCTGGGGTCCAATCACTTGTCCAAGGAGAAATGGAGGGGGAGGCGGGTCTTAAGGGTCTGTTATTCCTCTGACAGCCCCACTCTCAGCCAGTTCTGGGATCACCTCCTCTGGGAAGCCCTCTGCACAGGAACCATCCCCTGCACTGTCATGACCACCAGCCCCGCCAGGCTGGCCAGGCCTTCAAAGCAAGGGCAGCAGCTTGCGTGCAGCGCCCCAGCAGGGATGAACTGAGAGTGGGGGATTCGGGCATCCCATCCCAGTTACTAAAATTCCCCTTCAGGCGGTGTTTCACAGAATGCCTTCACATGCCCGCCGTCTTCAGTAAAGGACATGTTATTATCACACCCCCATGCCACACCTGGGGAAGCGGAGACACAGAGAGGGGAGATGGCGTGTGTAGCAAACTCAAGTGTGGCGTATATCAGTTACACGCAATGTTACCTAACTCACTTTTCCTCCTCATCATCGTTCTCCAAGTGTGGTCCGTGGACCAGCAAGATCAGCATCCCCTGAGAACTTGTTAGAATTGCAGATTATGGGGCTCCCTCCAGACCCGCTGAATCAGAAACTCTAGGGTGGGGCCGAGATCTGGTTTCAGCAAGCCCCCCAGGGGATTCTGATAAACGCCAAAGTCTGAAAACCACCGCCTTGCACAACCCTACAAAGTCACTATAATTATCCCCATTTTACAAATAGGGTAATTGCAGCCAAGCGAAGGCAATCGGTCCAGAACCACAGCTGTAATTGGGGGTACCAGGATTCTAATCCAGGGAGTGTGGAGCCAGAAATGTGTTCTTGGAGACCACTGACGAGTTGACATCAGAATCAAAAGTAGGATCAGCAATATTTGGCCATTCACTAATAACTCCGTACTGAGCGGCTACCGCGTGCCCAGACACCGTGCTAAACCCTGGGACCTCTCTTTCACCGTTGCTAGTCTAGGACAGGGATTGGGGTTAGGAATCACCGGGGGGGGGGGGGGGGGGCAAGTACCTGAGTGTTAACCCTCAGAAGGCAGGGCTGGGGAGGCGGGCTCCGCGGCCCCTTTAAAAGGCGGGGCCTGGGCAACGGAACTGAGGTGTCTTAAGTGCGAGGCGCGCCCGAGAGGCTAAAAGACGATACACCCGGAAGTGTCTTAGGCGTGCGGGAGGCGCGCCGCCAGAGGCCTCACCGCTATGGGCCGCAACAAGAAGAAGCGAGATGGCGACCACCGGCGGCCGCGGCTTGTTCTCAGTTTCGACGAAGAGAAGCGGCGGTGAGTGCCAAGGCTGGAGCTGATGTCCTTCAGGCCGCCGGCCGAGGCCACAGCTAGGGCCGCGGCCGGGCGGCTGACGCTCACGCAGAGGTCCCTTCCGGCCCCGCCCTCTCGGCGTGGCCCGAGGCTCCCTTTCGACATTCCCCCCCCCCGCGGAATGGAAGCGGCCGCGGTCGGCCCCCACGCCTGGGGAATGGAATCGCCCTCCCCGCCCTCCGGTCGCTAGGTCTGCGCCCCAGCTGGCCCGGGTCCTGCTGTGCGCGCGGCCAGAGGGCGGGGGCGGGGCCCGGAGCTCAGGCTTCGACCTCCCGGGCCCAGCCCATCGGCCCCGCAGCCCCGCAGGCCGTGCGCTCAGTGTTGTTGATGAATGAGGAGTGAATGAGATGAGCGTGGCTTAAGTTCATTTATGCCCTCATCAGACGTGTCGTGAGCTCCTTCGGTGTGTGGGTGCCAGATCTCGGGACCCCTGAACTGGACCCCTAAGCCTCAGCGTCCGGTCCATCAGATGTCCCCTGCTCAGAGCGCCACTTTGCCATATGGCAGTGGGTCAGCGAAAAGCCTAGTGTTGGGCCCCCGGAACGTTTGGGAATGGTGCAGCCAGCACTAGAGAGATGAGAAGGAGCCCGGATCAGATAGGGGAGGCGAATGCAGGGTGGCATCGACGGGCCTTACTGATGGGTCTGGGGGCGGCTGTCCTGGGGATATGGGTGCCAGTCCAGTGGAAAGTTTGTGGATATCTGGGTGAGGGTGGCCTTGAAAGCCCTGCTAGAAGTGGCTTAATTCACTGGGTCATGGAATCTGGCGACATAGAAAGGGCCCCCTGCCTGTCCTAGGGTGCATAGGCCCACCTACCTGGCCCTGTTGAGGCTGAGAGCCCTGGAGGGGGGATGGGTGGAAAGAAGCAGCATCTCCCTCTTCTGACCTTACACTCTCTATGACCTTTGGCAAGTAGTCTAGCCTCTCTGTTCCTCAGTGTTCCCATCTGTAAAACGGATTGGTACCTACCACACAGGTTGTTGTGAGGAATACGTGAGGTGACACATGTACATTTTTTTTAAGGTTTTTTGTTTGTTTTTTTAATTTGGGAGAGAGAGCGAGCACACACAAGCAGCGGAGGCGGGGGTGGAGGAAGAGCAGAGGGAGAAACATTGCCCGCTGAGCGGGGAGCCCTATGCGGGACTCAATCCCAGGACTCTGGGGATCATGACCTGAGCCAAAGGCAGGTGGTTAACTGACTGAGCCACCCAGGTGCCCATGTGTAGATTTTTGTAATAGTACAGTATTAGTGGTTTTTCTCTTCCTGGAGTGAGCCTTTCTTTCCTTGTGTCTCCTCCCGACTCTCCCTTGCCTCTTTCCTTTAGGGAATACCTGACTGGCTTCCATAAGAGGAAGGTAGAGCGGAAAAAGGCAGCCATTGAGGAGATCAAGCATCGGCTCAAGGAGGAGCAGAAGAAGCTCCGGGAGGAGGTGCAAAGGGGGAGGATGGGTGAGGGAAGGGGGGTAGGGAGAAGGAGAGAGAGAGAGTGTGTGTGTGTGTGTATATAAAATCTGATTCCTGAGGGATTTACATCCTTGGATGGCCTTAATACGAACATCTGCAGGAATAAGGGAAGGTGTGGGCAGGCCTGGGGAGCAGTTTGTACAGAGAGAATCATGGTGGGCCCTCGTCTGGGGAAGGCTTAGGATGGAATCTCCTGGTGTTTCACTAGGAGTCATTCATGGTCTCACTCACCCTGGAGATGAACAATGCTCCCGCCTGGGGTTGGCTGGAGAGGCCACACTCACTGTGTTCCCTTCCCTTTTGGTTTCAGCGCCATCAGGAATACTTGAAGATGCTGGCAGAGAGAGAGGAGGCTCTGGGTAAGTCCCATCTTTACCCTGACCTGGAGAATAGCCAACAGGCCTAGGTTATTTATCCCTGGGTGGGTGGAAGGGGAGAGGTGTGGGGGCTGCACAGCTAACTTCCCTAGCTCCAGGGGTCTTGGGGGTGATGTCAGGGCCAGGGGCAGTCTTCAGCAACCTCTGAATGTGAGTGGATCAGACACAGGAAGGACCAACCTCTTGGTGAAGCGATCCTGAGCAGAAAGCCCAGTTCCTGAGGCCTGGAGGACTTGGAGGGGGGGAGTGGGCAGCAGCAGCTGCTGGGATCACACGAGGTTTGTCCTAGATGAGAACCAGATGCTCTGAGGTCTCCCCGGAGCATCAAGGGAGGAGTTGAATCGCTTACATTTGCCTGCAGGCCGGGCTCTGGAGCCGCTGACTTCCTGGACACTCTCCCGTAGCGTAGAGGGAACCGTTGCAGTCTAGGGCTGGGCAGGGGGTGAGAGTCTGGCTACTTGTGCTCTGAGGCTGACAGCCGGTTCTGTGCCCGCCTTGCGCAGAGGAGGCAGATGAACTGGACAGGCTGGTGACAGCCAAGACAGAGTCGGTGCAGTATGATCACCCCAACCACACAGTCACCGTGACCACCATCAGCAACCTGGACTTCTCGGGGGCCCGGCTGCTGGGACTGTCTCCGCCTGAGGTGGGTGTAACTTCCAGCCCTAGAGAAGACGGGCCCCAGGTGCAGGCTGGCTTGTTGGGGGTGCCGAGTGCTGTTCCCTTTATGGGGATTGCAGTGCGAGGGGCTCTTTCCCTCCTGGGCACTTGCCCAGGCCTGGACAAAATCCCTGACCCTGGGGCTTGCAGAAGCCAGTTCCATGACTCAGCGGCTGTGGAAACGTGGGCAAGTGTCTTCGCCAGTAAGTTGTGGGGGTCACTGCTGATGGCACTGTCTCATGGGATTGCTGTGAGTGTAAAAGCGATTCATCCAAAAGAAACACAAAAGATAGCGGGGTATGGTGATCACTGCAGTGCGTGGGAACAGCAAAAACGCAGCCCGGCCGTGCGCACTAACACTGAGTTTGCAAGCTGTGAGTGGGGAGGTACTCACAGATTGCAACTGACATTTAAAAAAAAGGGGGGGATCCCCCTAAATTTTAAAAGCACTCCATGGGCCCTGACTCGGGAGCCATGGAACCTTCCGGAAAGGGCAGAGGAGAGCACTGCTTTTGTGTGAAGCAGCAGCATGTTGTGTTGTTTTGCTTCAGTTGGTGTGATGCAGTGTTCCTCCTCAGTGGGGGGGACTACCTGCTGGGGAATATGAGCGAGGGAGAGGCTTTGGAAGTGACAGGGAAACGTTATGCAGGCAGAACTGCCTAATAAGCTCTCAAAAAAAACAAAAACAAACAAAACCCCAAAATTAAAAAATTTTCAAAAGTAAAGAAAAAGAGGAAAGAAATAGAACAGAATGTCATTGAAAGTATCACAAAGCCTCCCAGTGAAGTACCATCTCAACGAAATGTTTGTTTCCATCTGAGTTGCGTCCATCTGGGTGGGGTGGGCATTTCAGTACCTGTGTGTCCTGAGTCACAAGGCAAAGCACGTTTCCTGTCACTGGTGAAGGCGTCCTTGAGCCCCGAGCCAGCGCTTTGTGGCGTCCTTACCGAGCTCACGCTCCTCTTCTGTCTCCTGCTCGTTCTTCTGTAAGTCCTCCCGGCCTCAGCTTGCCGTGGACATGCAGACGCTCACAGCTGGAAGAAAAGGGGGACAAGGCTGTGAGACTCAGCTCTTCCCTGTGATCCCCGCTTCAGGGGGGTACATGGCTTGTCCACCCGTGGCCTTCTCCGAGCCCTGAGCCAGGCCTTGAGGCTGTAGGCCATGCCCCGCCCTGACCGAGCCGTGACTGCTGGTGTCAGGCCTCGCGATCTACCGCTCCGTGTGACGGTCCTTGTCCTGTGCTTCTTCAGCAAGGGGCTGGGCACGGGTCCGAGGAAGAGGCGTCCTCCGTGGAGAAGCCGACCAGAGCCTTACCCAGGAAGTCCAGAGACCCCCTCCTGTCCCAGCGGTGAGCCCTGGTCTGTCCTCCCCTAGGATACTGCTCCCTCGTGGCTGACAGTGGTGACGGGGCCTGTGGAGCCGCCCCTCGCCAGCCTGTGGCGGGTGGCATGGGGCAGGTGTGGGGGCTGGGGCAGCCACTCTGCTCTGCCTGTCGAGTATCCCTCCTCCCGTTCCCCACCCCCACTCCCCGACAGTGGCCAGGCCTGGGCGTCCTTAGTGCCCGGGGTAAGGGCCTTTCTATGAGCGGAGGAACTGGCAGGCCCTCTGGGGTCAGAGCAGGCTGCCTTTGGCATGGATTTGGTACTCCCAGCATTCAAGGCCTGTACCGACTTTCTCTGTGAGCCAGGCAGCCGGTCACCCCTGAACCCAGCTTTGCACCCAGGCCCTGCTCCCCAGAGTAAATGCGGCCCCAGCCTCACCAGCCTTCCACCTCCTACAGGATCTCCGCTCTCACGGCATCACTGCACGCGCACAGTCGCAAAAAGACCAAGAGGAAACGTCCCCGACGGGCCCAAGACTCCACCAAGAAGCCCCCGAGTGCCACTCGTACGAGCAAGACCCAGCGCCGCCGGCTGACGGGCAAAGCCCGGCACAGCGGAGAGTGAGCCCTGAGAACCAGGCCATGCCCAGCCTGGGCTCTAAGGGCCTGTGCTGTCTCCACTTGGCTGGCCCAGTAACCCAGCCCCGAGGTGGGGACTCTGCGGCCCACGGCGGGGAGGCCAGCAGCTCTGGCCCAGAGCTTGGACCCTGGCAGGGGCAGGCCGCTGAGAGGTGGCTCCCCCCAGGAGGAGCCTTCAGAGCCGAACCTGGGGCATCTTCCCAAATGTCTCCCCCGCTGAGCCTTCATCAGATTTCTGAAACTGAGTGCACTTGTGGTCTTTTTGTCCCTGACCCTGATGCCGCTTGCCAAGGGCAGGCTTCTGAGGTGGTGGAAACCATCAGGCGGGTGGGTCCGTCTTCCCCGTCCAGCAGTTTTCCCTGTGGGGATGAGACAGGTAGTGTTAGGTCTGGGCCCCCTAACCCGGGTTGCAGACCAGCATAACATTGGAAGAATCCAGAGTCATCCAGCTGCTCTGAAAAGCAGGCTGCTGGGCCAGGGGGGTGAGTGGTGCTGGACTCCGCCCTTTACTGGCTGAGACTTTGGGTCTGTCCCTTCTTGGTCTCCACTGAAGTGGTGGAAGTGGATGAGTTTCAGAGCAATCCCCACCCAGCTCAGGCCCAGTGAGAGATGGACAGGGTGACGGGAGAGTGCAGTGCCAGGAGCAGCTGCAAGTGCCACCGGGCCCCGGGGTGTGGGAGGCGCTGGCAGGAGGGGGAGCTGACCCCCCAAGCAGGGCTTCCTTCTGCTCAGCCCATGGAGGGCTGCCATTGGGCAGGCTCAGGAACAGGGGCTCTGTTAGGCCGTGTTTGGGGGTGACTGGCACGCTCCCATGTCACTCTCCGGACCCGCCATCTGGTGCCTCTCTGAGGGCCACACCTGGACTGGGAACGCGAAGCTTGGGGCTTATGGGTGGGAAGCGCTGTGACCCGGTTCTTCAGCTCCTTCACCTGCTCTTCCTGCTGCCTCCCTGTTCTGGGGGTGGGGTGACTCGCTCTGCTGGGCTGCCTCCATCCCGGGCAGAGGGTGGGGCCTGCTAGCAAGTTCTGCAGGTGGTTCTAGTGCTCAGCCCAGGGCCGTGAGTGTGAGCCTTGCCCTCACGGGCCCCCCGGGAGCAGAACACATCGTGCGTTAGCGTACACGGCAGGGCCTGGGTTTGAATCCTAACTCTGCTACTTGGCCTCCGTGTGAGCGCTTTGCTGTGCTGACCTCATGGGTAAGATGTCAAGACACCCACCTCCTCGGGCTGCCCTGAGGCTGACGTGAGCCGCAGGTGCACCTGCAGGCTGGGCTCCCGGCTGCTGCTGTCCCCTGTGACCGCTGACCCACGTCTCTTCTCCTGTCCCCGGTGCCGTGGGGGGTCATTTACCATTTAGACCTACATGTGATCTTTACAAGTATTCTCATCCTCTCTCTTCCATGTGCGCCATCAGTTCTTACAGCAAACCAAGGAGATTGAGTCAGCGATTTTGCCCATCTTGGGATCAGAAGTGATGGAATCAGAACCCTCTGGAGAACTTGCCTTTTCTCCCCAGAACCCCTCTCTCCATGCTCCACACCTGGATTCTTTCCTTGCCGCTCTCCATCTGGTGGGCCTCCTGGGTTTGGGGCTTAAAGGATTAGGTTAAGCTGCATATAATAGAAAACAAAATTTAAAAACAACTGGCTTGGGGCGCCTGGGTGGCTCAGTTGGTTAAGCGACTGCCTTCAGCTCAGGTCATGATCCTGGAGTCCCGGGATCGAGTCCTGCATCGGGCTCCCTGCTCAGCGGGGAGTCTGCTTCTCCCTCTCCTGCTCTCTGTCTCTCATTCTCTCTCTCTCAAATAAATAAATAAAATCTTAAAAATAAATAAATAAATAAATAAAAACAAACAACTGGCTTGTATAAGAGGCAGTTAACAGGGAGATAACTAGCCTGGAGCCGGGGTAGGGTAGGGCTGGGGGGCTGGGATGGCAGGCTTTTAGCTTTTTGCTTTGTGCCATTTTCTTTTTTTAAGATTTTATTTATTGGGGTGCCTGGGTGGCTCAGTCGTTAAGCGTCTGCCTTCGGCTCAGGTCATGGTCCCAGGGTCCTGGGATCGAGCCCCGCATCGAGCTCCCTGCTCAGCAGGAAGCCTGCTTCTCCCTCTCCCACTCCCCCTCTCCCACTCCCCCTGCTTGTGTTCCCTCTCTCGCTGTCTCTCTCTCTGTCAAATAAATAAATAAAAAGCTTAAAAAAAAAACGATTTTATTTATTTGACACAGAGAGCGAAAGAGCACAAGCAGGGGGAGCAACAGAGGGAGAGGAAGAAGCAGGCCCCCTGCTGAGCAGGGAGCCTGATGCGGGACTCGATCCCAGGACCCTGGGATCATGACCTGAGCCGAAGGCAGATGCTTAACCATCTGAGCCACCCAGGCGCCCTGTTTTGTGCCATTTTTCAACACATGGCTTCCACCTCATGGTCCAAGATGGCTGCTTGAGCTTCAGCCATCATACTCGCCTTTCAGCAGGCAGGAAGGAGGAAAAGTTGAAGAACATGTCCCTCCCTCCTTTTAAGAACATTTGACACTTGTCCTGTGCCATTGGTTGGGCAGAAGGCAAAGGCAAGGGACAGGAGGAAGAGCGAGCTCCTGGCTGTAGGGAAGTCTGGGTCCTGTGGTTCATTCTGGAGAATCATGCGCCCGAATAAGAATTGAGCATTGTGCGGGGCACCTGGGTGGCTCGGGCCATGATCCCCAGAGTCCTGGGATTGAGCCCCAGGGAGTCTGCTTCCTCCTCTCCCTCTGCCCTTCCCCACTGCTCGTGCTCGCTCTCTTAGTGGCGCTCTCTCTCTGTCTCTCTCAAATAAAAATCGTGGATACAAGCAGCAGAGCCTCCCACAGAGGGTGGATGTATAAGGAAAGGGCTGTCAGGAGAGGATCCAACTGTATGGGACCAAAGCCACAGCAGACGCTTGCTTTTCTGTTCCTGGGTTACTGCGGTGAACTTCCCCGATGCTGTGGGAGGAAGGACTCTCCCAGTAGGATGCGTTTTGGGGCAGCTGAGCCCTCCCTAGGGGGACAGGTAGGCAGGCCCGCTGGAGCTGCCCACCTGGGCTGGGAGCTGTAGAGGAGAAGGTTCCATGCCAGGGAAGCCGAGGCTTTCTTCCTCTCCAAAGTACCCTGGGCCTCAGAGGCTTGGAACCCCCAGAGCTGACATCTTCCAGATGTTGGAGGCGCCCTTTAGATGTTCACAGGCTGCTCACGCCTTTCTTGCTCTGTGAGCCACCTCCTCCAGCCTTCCCCCCTCCGCACATGGGCCTAAGGACACTTTGTGTTTCCTTCTTGTAACCACTGAACACACTGTAACCTAGTGACCTCTGTCCCCAAGGCAGACCATGAGCCTTCTGAGTGAGAAGTTATGTCAGTAATTGCTGTTTCTGCCCCTGGCACAGGGCCCGTCTCACCATAGGTCCTGAGCCAGTCCTGGCTGAATTACATGGGACCCAATCCCCCTCCCCACAGGTGCTCCCAATGGCCCTTGAAATAATTGTTCTAGAATTTTCTTGCCCTACTGCCGTGTTTGCCTGTCTGCAAATTTCTGAATCTGTTTCTTTTTTTTCTCCTTCCCGCCACCATATCCATCTCTCTTGGGCCTCCACTGAAACCTTCCCCATCACCCGATTTCTTTTGGTTATTTGGCAATCATGCTGGCTAGGTCCTCGCCCCCTAGCCAGCATGATTGCCAAATAACAACCAAAAGAAATCGGATGGGAAAGTAATTTTTTTTTTTTTTTTTTTTTTTTTTTTTTTTTTTTTTATTTATTTGCGAGAGAGAATGAGAGAGAGCATGAGAGGGAGGAGGGTCAGAGGGAGAAGCAGACTCCCTGCTGAGCAGGGAGCCTGATGTGGGCCTCGATCCTGGGACTCCAGGATCATGACCTGAGCCGAAGGCAGTCGCTTAACCAACTGAGCCACCCAGGCGCCCGGATGGGAAAGTAATTTATCGAGCACTTCTCATGTAACTCTCAGCAGCATGGCAAAGTGGGAATTAGCTCCATTTGACAGGGGAGAAAACCGAGTCACCACTTACATCATGTCAGAAGTTACCTGTCATGGCTAGTAAGACATGGTCCTTGCATCCCTCGGAGGGGGCAGACACATGGACGTCCCTCTGGAGGTCAGGGTTTTGACAAAGTGTTAGAGGGCAGACATCCTTACAGCCCAGAGGGCAGAGAGGAAGGCATCCAAGAAGGCTTCCGAGAGGAGGTGATCCTTGATGTGACTCTTGAAAGATGACTTGGGTTGGCCAGGCAGCTGAGGGAGGGGATGGGCAGGTAGAGGGCCCTGGTGAGCAAAGGTGGGGAGCGGCCAGAGGGGAAGCAGCTGCAGAGGCCCTTGGGCCCCAGACCCTGAAGGGCCTCAAACTTGAGCTGAGGACCTGGACCCTTATCCTGTGGGCAGTGGGAGCCCCTGAGGTGGGGCTGGGGAGTTGCCAGGGGCAAGTCAGTGATTGTTTTAGAGAGATCTCCCTAGGGGTAATGTGGAGGCTGCACCGGGAGTCCTGGAGCCTCCAAGACCCTGTTGTAGTTACTCCGGGGGAGGCAGGGAGGCCCTCCTCTCATGCAGGCACCCATTCACTCTCTTGCCAAGCATTTATTGAGCACCTATGAAGTCCCAGTCACTGGGGATACATTGGTGAACAAGAGAGGGTGGTCCCTGCCTTCCAGTGACTTATATTTCATGAGCTGTAGCTGTAGGGACTGAGTGGAGGAGAGATGATAATAGTAGCATTTATTGAGCACTTACTGTATACACCACTCATTGAGTTCTCATAGTAACCCCACAGTCTAGGCAATTCCATTAAGCCCATTTTGCAGTTGAGGTACATTGAGGTGGCCCCCTCAGGAAGCAAGTCACTCCCTAGATACAGACATTAATACTGCCTGACTGGCTGAACAAGCTGAGTCTTAACCTTCAAGGGGTGCACTCAAGGTGCATAATGTGAAAGAAACCCCAGGAGCCATGCGAGTCCTGCACAGGATCTCAGCTCAGCACAGTGAGCCCTTGCTTAAGGCTGGGGAAGCCAGGGAGGGCTTCCTGGAGGGGGTGCCATTTAAGCTATCACTAAGAGAATGAAAAAATCTATCTGTGCTTTACCATTTCAGAGACACTGCATAGGCTAGAAGGCCTGAACATTAGCTTCGTTTTATTCACAGAGTATTTAAAAACAGTTTGACCAGAGGTGCCTGGGTGGCTCAGTCGGTTGAGCATCTGCCTTTGGCTCATGTCATGATCTCAGGGTCCTGGGATCGAGTTCCGCATCAGGCTCCCTGCTCAGTAGAGAGTCTGCTTCACCCTCTCCCTCTGTCCCAGCCCCTGCTCATGCTCTCTCTTAGTCTCTCTCTCTCAAATAAATAAATAAAATCTTAAAAAAAAAAAAAAAAGAATTCTGTGGAGAGGAACAATTCTGAGTGTTTACCCAATTTTTTGAGGCAAAAACCAAATCAGGGTGCCTGGGTGGCTCAGTTGGTTAAGCGACTGCCTTCGGCTCAGGTCATGATCCTGGAGTCCCTGGATCGAGTCCCGCATGGGGCTCCCTGCTCAGCAGGGAGTCTGCTTCACCCTCTGACCCCATCCCCTCTCATGTGTTCTTTCTCTCTCATTCTCTCTCTCTCTCTCAAATAAATAAAATCTTAAAAAAAAAACAAAAACCAAATCAAAACCAAAACCTAAATAAGTTGACTTCGCCATATTTTAAGATGTTGTGATTTCATGCAGAAGTTCAGATTTCTGGCTTCTTCAGTAAAAGTAAGCCTGGCTGCACCCGATCACCACTTCCCAGGGTCGCATGGACTGGAATCAGCCCTGATGACCCTGTGAGAGACTCGGGCTTTCCTTCTTCTGCTCCGTGGGGCCACCACCTCCTGCCTCCCTGCCTTGCCTGCCCACGACATGGGGTCCTCCAACAGGCCTGTGGGCAGGGTGGGCTGGGAGGGCAGGAGGAAACAGGGCAGAGGGGTGGAGTGGGTCTGGAAGTGTCAGTGGTGGTTCAGCTACCCCAGACCTAAGGAGAGTGTATCCCAGCCACGGGGAAGAGCATGAGCAAAGATGGAGGTGAGCAGGCACAGACTGCAGGGAGCAGAAAGGGAGATGGTGTCCCCAGGATAAATGGTGACAAGGGTGGCAGGCGCTGCCCCGGCTGCCAATTGTGCCCTTAACCCTGAGCCATCGGAGCCATCCCGCACAAGACTCTGGGAGTGTGGTTTTTAGACCAGGCTCCATCATAAGTAACTGAGTGGCTTTGGACACCTTGCTTCAGCCTTGACTTTCACCTCTATACAACGCAGATGGCGACTGCTGCCCTTCTCATTGCAGGGAGGTGTGGGGAGAAACACGAGTGTGCACGCAGAGAGGCCAGCTTTGCCCACTCGGGAAAAGGAGGGACTGTCATTACTTAGATGACTGAAGGCCCCTCTTTGGGCCTCAACCGCTCTTAGAGCCACTGTCCCCCCTCCCAAGAGGGAGGCCTCTTCCAACAGTCCCCGGAGCTCCCTGGCCCCCTCCTCCTGCCTCCTTCCGATCCTCTCTCCTTCAGCACGCTGGCTGACGCCCACCTGCCTACCACCTTCTCCTGCCCTCCAGGGGCCCCGCCAGGCAGCTCCAGAGCTAGGGAGAGCACTCAGGACAACCCCCGTCCTGCCCCCGGACTCTTCTCCTCCTCTCTGCCTCTCCTCCTGCCTCACTCCTCTGTCCCCTCCGCCAGACTGTTTCTCCCCGGGGCCTGCAGCCTCGCTCCCTCTCCTCCAGGGCTTTGCTCGGATGTCACCATCTCAGTGAGGCCTTCCCTGCCCACCTTATTTCAAATGTAATGCCTTCCCCACACCAGCCACTTCCACCCCCCTTCCTGGCTTCATTGTTCTCCTTAACACCTCTCACCAGCCTACATACTCCGTATCTTGCTTATTTATCTTGCTTGGCATTGGGGCGCCTGGGTGGCTCAGTCAGTTGAGCGTCTGACTCTTGATCTTGGGTCAGGCCCTGATCTCAGGGTCATGGGATCGAGCCTTGAGAAGAGCCCCCCATCGTATTGGACTCCCTGCTCAGTGGGGAGTCTGCTGAGATGCTCTCTCTCCCTCAGCCCCTCCTCCTCCTCCCTCTCTCTAATAAATAAGTAAATAAATTTTTATCTTGTTTGGGGTCTGTTTGTCTCCGCTAGAATGTAAGCACCAAGGAATCAGGAGATTCAATCTTTTTTTTTTTGCTAAGTATCCTCAGCACACACAACTAAGTAGGGGCTCCGTAAGTATTTAATGAACTGAATTGTCAGGAACACCACCCTGAGTTAGCTACAGGTTTTACTGATGGTGGTGGGGGGGGGAGTTGAGAGGGTGGGGGGATGGGGCTAAAGGGCCCCAGTCATGTCCTGACCCTCAAACTCAAACCAAATGTCTAACCCACACCAGGCTCAGACAGGTCAAGTAACTTTTTCAAGATCACACAGCCAAGAGGTGCTAGAGCCAGATACCGAACCTCTGTCTCACTACTTCCTGTTCTGCTCACAGTAACTGGGATCAAGCTGAAAGCTCATTATTTTTGTTACTAAACTGTGTCTTCACCCATTCCCTCCTGGGCCAGGATGACCTGTTTAGGGGCTATCTCTTCCACTGGTCAACGGGCTTCTCAACTCAGAAGGAGACACAATTTATTCACATTACCATCTCCCCAGTGCCCAGCAGAGATCCATGTGAACATCTGCGTATAATTAGTGAATGAAGACGCTCTGTGGTGCTATAGTAGAGTCAGCCACACCAGGGTTTTAGTCTTGGCTCTGCCTCTTACTAGCTGTGAGACCCTGGCAGGTTAATTGTCCTTAGTTGCTGTGAAATGAGGATCTTGGTACTTAACCCTTTGGGTTACTGTATCCTAATGAATGTAAAGATTTTAGAATAGGAGCTGGTACATAGTGCAGAATAAATGTTAGCTTAAAAAGGGTGCAGATTAAAAAAAAGAGAGAGAGCTATGCATTTTGTGAGTGAGTTCTGCATCAGTGGAAGCGAGCAAATGGAGGCTGAAAACCCCTGGGCATTTCATTTGATCCCCACAGGTACTACTACTCTTCCCATTTTACAGATAAGAAAACTGAGGCATAGAGAGTTTAAGTCGCTAGCCCAACATCTGGAATAAGGCCAGTGCAGGGAAGTGCTGCGAGAATGCACCGGCGGGAAAGACATCAGAGGGAGCCAGGCCCGTCAGTGGCTGGCTGACCCAGGGCAGACCCAGCAGCAGCTCAGGCTAAACGTGCGGCCGGTCCCGCGCTCAGAGGCATCTGGGCGCCGCCCGCCTCCGCCCCGCCCCTTGCCCTCGGGTTGTCCAATCCCACAGCCTTTATGTAAATGAAGCGCCTAGAGCGAGCCTATGCAAGAGCGGCAGGGGCGTGGTCTTCGTCCACCTCCCGGGCAACGTTCTGATTCATTGTTAAAATAGAAGCTGTGACCCCGGCATCCCACCCCGGCACCCCCTGTGCGTGGAAACCCGAGCCGAGGTCAGTAGCACTGCGCAGCGGAAAGGGGGGACGGGGGCGGGGAGAGGACGCTACTGGGGTAAGGGAGAGGGGCGAGGCATACGGAGAGGGACTGGCTGACCCGCCGGAGAGGTCCAGGAGTCCATTCTCCGGGTGGGGCATGAGTGTCCGCCGAAGGTTTTTCATTGTTACAGCCACACCTCATGTGCATTTTAGAGGATTCTGCCAATTGGTTGGGCATTAAGGAAGAGGAGGAAGCGGGAGCAGTGAGGGGCACGTGGAATAGAGCCCCCAGCCGCCCCCAGGGAAATGAGCCGCCTTCTCTTGTCAGGCGACGCTCCTTTATGTGGTCAGACCAGGAAAGAACCGCCCAAGCTGGGCGGGACCAGTGCGCCCCCCCTCCACCACTGGGGCAGGGGACGTCGCGGGGAGATGACAGCCCAGGGAGGCTGAGGGGCCAGTGACTACCCCCCTCACACACACGCCGGCTCCTGCCACGTCCCCAGGTCTGATGGTGGAGAAGCCAGGAACCTTCGCCCTGGCTGCCCCAGGGGAGGATGTGAAATTCCCCAGGTCTCAGCTGAGATTGGGCCACAAAGGCCTTATGTCCTGGTATGCTTTGGAGGAAACTCACCAGGTGAGGACCGGTGTATGGGCAGGCGACCTGGGGGCACCGCAAGGTGCATGGGGTTTGGGGATATGGGTTCATCTTCTGCGCCACTCTCCTCCTGGGGCTCTCTGTGAGCGAGGAAGGCATCTTCAAGTCACTCTTTTGTTGGGGTCTGCCCCCTCTCCCCCAACCCGGGACATGGCGCCAGAGCCCTCAGTGGCCTCACCCAGATGGGAGGGCCCTGTGCTTAAGTCAGAGCACCGGGGCTTCTTTGTGGCTAAACCGTACTGCATCCTGGCTGTGTGACTTTGTCCTCAACTCTGAAAATACCTGCTGGCTTTTGCTTCACTCTTGTGTGAATTGGCAGTGTGATCCAGGGCCCCTCACTTCCACCTCCAAGAGGGTGGGGAGGGACACAGACCTGGGCTGGAATTCAGTTCAGCTCCTGGGACCTAGAGCAAGGTGTGGGCCCTAGGTGAGCCTTAGTTGCCTTGTCTGAAATTGGCATTGCTTTATCTACAATGTGGGGTAACTGTGAGGCCAGGGTACTCAAACTTTGGGGTGCATTGCCTCACCCGGGAAATTTGTTGAAAATGAGCAACCCCAGGCCTCACCTCCAAGAGATTCTCACTGGGTGGATATGGGGAGGGAACTGGGCATATGTTTTTGGTTTTGTTTTTTAAAGTAATCTCTTGGCCCAACGTAGGGCTCAGACTCAACCCCAAGATCAAGAGTCGCATGCTCCACCGAATGAGCCCGCCAGGTGCTCTAGGAACAAGCGTTTTAGGAGGAGCTCAGCTGAGTCTAATGCAGCGTCCGTGGAACACACTTTGAGCAGCACTGCAGTGATGACTAGAAATCACATGTCAAATGCTTGGCAGAGTGCCTGGTGCTTAGTAGGTGCTTAATGAGTGTTTACCGAGTGAGTAAATGAACAGCCAAATGAATGGATGGATAACCTTAGTTCCTTAGTCCTTATCTGTCTGGGGGTAGCTAAGGCTGGGTTCCGGTGGGCTGCCAGCCAGTTACCTGGTCCTTGCCTCCCCCGCATTCTTCCCAGGCCCCACCATAGGATCGCAGGAGCTACTTTGGCCTGACTCAACCAGTATGGAGGAGGTGGCTGGGAATGCCCCGTGTGAATACTTTGAGGCCAACGTGCTTGCCCAGAACTGCTGTCAAAATTGCTTCCACCCTGAGGAGGCCCACAGACCAAGGCACCAGGTAGGCCAGCTTCCCTGAGTGGTGGTGGTGGTTTGGGATGGGGGTGTTCAGGATGGGCTGCGCCTGGTGGGCCACTAACTTGTGGCCAAACCCAAACACTGGCCTTCCTCCTGGGCAGAACAGAGGTTCTGCCATCTGTACAATGAGCTGATGGGACCACGTTATGTTTCCCAAATACAAGTCATTCTGCTTTTATGATTTTTTGCCATGGCCTCATGTCATTTAGTACTTATTTTATTATGCTTTAAATAAACACCCTTTTAAAAATTTATACTAAAACAAAACTTTAGGGGCGCCTGGGTGGCTCAGTCGTTAAGCGTCTGCCTTCGGCTCAGGTCATGATCCCAGGGTCCTGGGATCGAGCCCCACATCGGGCTCCCTGCTTCGCGGGAGGCCTGCTTCTCCCTCTCCCTCTGCTTGTGTTCCCTCTCTCGCTGTGTCTCTCTCTGTCAAATAAATAAAAAAAATAAAAAAAAATAAAAAAAAACTTTATAGCATCACCACAAATGGGACACTAGGATCATATCCTTTATATAGAAGGTTAAAAAGGTAGAAAGAAAAGGAAGAAAATCAGAAATGTCATTAAATTCTCACTAGAGAGTGTTGTCAGCTGAAGGCTCTGAGCCCAAGTCTTGCTGTCTCTCTTTAAAAAGAGAGATTGGCAGGTGTTAGGGAGGCATTAAAGGCATCCTAGCTCCTACTGGAGACTCTTCCTAGAGGTATTGAAGGAGAGAAAGGGGAGGTGTTTTCTCACTTTGCCATCCTCGTGGTCTTATGCCAAGCCCTGCTCCGTGTAAATCCAGAGCTCCCGGTACAGAAGCTACGAGAAGCATGGGACCGTGAATCTCCATGGACCCCTCCGGGCTTGACCCTCCCCCGCCCTGTCCCCCATGGCTCTGTCATTCCCAGCGGGTCCTGAGGCTCCTCCTGAGCCTGGCATCCAGCTCCATGCGGGGTGTTAGACTCCATGAGGTGGCCTTCCTAAGGGAGTTACTGTTCAGCTTCAGAGCCAGGCAAGCCAGAGTCCCAATCCTAGGTTTGCCATTTACCGACCATGTGACCTGGGGTCTTACCCTCTCTGGCTTCACTCTCCTAATGGGGGAAGTGGGGCAACAGGGCCTTCTCACTCAGGGCATCTGGCACCATTTAGTCCAAGGACATGTGGCTAATTCAATACACGTTAGTTTCCTCTCTTCGTCCTTCCTGAGCCAAAAAATAAACCTGGAAGAGAATTTTCTACCTGTCCTGATACTTCCAAGAATAGCTCTCTACCCTCAGCCCCAAGTTCAGGGAACACACCACAAAGCCCCGCGAGTCTGTCTCTGATGCCCATGGCCTTCCGCAGTGGGTGGGGAGATGGCAAGTGTGGAACAGGAGGAGAAACTTGGATTCAGACAGGTCTCAGTTCTAGTGTCAGTCCAGCCACTTCCGGGCTGAGACCTTAGGCCAGCTCATGTGTTCACTCATAAGGAACAGGTGCCTGAAATGTGCCAGGCGTTATGCTACCCAGGAATGTACAGATGTGGCCCCAGGTCCCAGGGCAACCCTCTCCCTGAGGCTTACTCTAGCTCCCCTAGGAGCTTGGGTGCTGGATGCATCCCTGCTCTGTTCTCCCACAGGCCAAGGGGGCAGGTGGTTATCTCTGGAAATCAGGAGGCCTGGACCAGGTCACAGCCAGGATCTGCAGAGGGAGGACGGGCTACGTGGGAGGGTCCTGCTGTCTGCCAGGCACCACACATCCCTTTTCAATGTATTTATTTATTTATTTATTTTAAGATTTATTTATTAATTTGAGAGAGAGAGAGAGAGCATGAGCTGGGGGAGGGGCAGAGGGAGAGAGAGAATCCCAAGCAGACTCCCCACTGAGCAGGAAGCCTGATGCAGGGCTTGTCGTGGGGTTCTTCTGGGGGTTCGATCCCAGGACCCTGAGATCATGACCTGAGCCGAAACCAAGAGTTGGATGCTCAGCGGACTGAACCGTCCAGGCGCCCTTTCAATGTATGTATGTATGTATGTATTTATTTATTTATTTTTAAATATGTATTTTTTTAAATTTTTATTTATTTATTTGAGAGAGAGAGAATGAAAGAGAGAGAGAGAGCATGAGAGAGGGGAGGGTCAGAGGGAGAAGCAGACTCCCCGCGGAGCAGGGAGCCTGATGCGGGACTCGATCCCAGGACTCCAGGATCATGACCTGAGCCGAAGGCAGTCGCTTAACCAACTGAGCCACCCAGGCCCCCTCAATGTATTTATTCTTTTTTTTTTTTTTTAAGATTTTATTTATTTATTTGAGAGAGAGAGAATGAGAGACAGAGAGCATGAGAGGGAGGAAGGTCAGAGGGAGAAGCAGACTCCCTGCCGAGCAGGGAGCCCGATGCAGGACTCGATCCCGGGACTCCGGGATCATGACCTGAGCCAAAGGCAGTCGCTTAACCAACTGAGCCACCCAGGCCCCCTCAATGTATTTATTCTTAAATGTATTTAATATTCTATTGATTTAACCCTAATAAAATTCTATTTAATGTTTTTACATTATTTATTATATTGAAGATGTGCAGACCAGGCACTGTTCTAAGCCCTTTACAAATATTGACCCATTTGGGGCGCCTGGGTGGCTCAGTCGTTAAGCGCCTGCCTTTGGCTCGGGTCATGATCCCAGGGTCCTGGGATCGAGCCCCGCATCCGGCTCCCTGCTCAGCGGGAAGCCTGCTTCTCCCTCTCCCACTCCCCCTGCTTGTTGTTCCCTTTCTTGCTGTGCCTCTCTCTGTCAAATAAATAAATAAATAAATAAATAATCTTTAAAAAACAAGAACAAATGTTGACCCATTTAATTGTCTTAACATCCCTAGGAGGTGCATGTTCTTATCATCCCAGTTTTGTAGATGAGAAAACCAGGCTGAGAGGGAAACCACTGGGCTGAGGTCACCCAGCTAGGAAGTGGAGGTGCCAGGACTGGGCCTGACATCTGTCTGAGGCCAGAGCCCGTGCTGACCCGCAGACGGGAAATCAGAGCCAGGGACTGGCTTCGGGGCCTGCTCAGGCGGGCAGTGGGCAGTGATGGGGGCTTGGGGTGAAAGCAGGGAGGAGGTGCCATGACAGGCTGGGGGTCCTGCTTGGGCCCAGCTGGGCTGGACCCCTTGGTGGTACCCAACCCACTGCTCCCTCCTCATTCATGTGGCAAGGTCCCCAGGGCGGCCAAGGCGCCAGGCTGGGCTGTGGATCTGACACCTCCCGCTGTCAAGTTCTGATCAGAATCTGGCTCCAGGGCAGGGGGCGAAACTGAACCCACATGGGCCTCCTCTGGCTTGGATGGCCCTGCGCCCACCCGGCCCCGCTCCTTGGCACTGCCCAGGGCCCGCTCTCCGTGGCTTTCTTGGCGTCGGGGCGGGTGTCCACCCTGCAGCGTGGCCGGGCTGTGGCCTCAGCCCTGGGCGCTGAGCTTCGGGGTCCCCGGGGAGCGGGCGCCCAGCCTCCCCTCTCCCTGCCCGGCTCTCAGGTGAGCGGCGGGGATCAGGTTCCTGCGGTTTCATGTCCCTCATTGTTCTTGGCTGGGCCCCGGCTTATGAAAGAGTAATGAGGGGCCCCTGCTCGCAGCCGGCCCCTCTAAGGTTTCCGCCGCCTCGGCCGCCGCCGCCACGGCCCAGAGTCGGGGCCTGGGAGGGCGGCAGCGTGGGGGCCTGAGCCGGAGCCCCCCGGGGACGAGGGTGCTGACAGCCGCCAGCCGCCACCGCCGGAGCCCGCCGGCCAGGTAACCTGAGAGGAGGCGGGGTGCAGGGTGCGTCGGCCGCCGGCTCCCACCACCAGGGAGGGCCGGCCGCCCCGGCGAGGAGGGGAGGAATGGGGGGGCCTTGCCGGAGCTGAGCCGCCGCCGATCCCCCCGGGTGAGCCCGGCTCCAGCCTCCGCAGGTGTGGCCTGGCCGGGCGGGCGGGCCGGCCGGCGGGGGAGAGAAGGCTGCGGGCTCAGGGCCCCACCCCCACCCCCACCCCCACCCCCACCCCCACCCCGGGGCCTGGACCCTCCTGCCCCCCGCCAGCCCCCTGCGCGCCCCCTGCAGCAGGGCAAATCTCCCCTTGCTCCTTCCCCCCAGGTCTCGCTTTCCGTCCCCTCAGACTTCCTCCTCCCGCAGACCGTGTCCTTCACTCTCCAGGTGGGCTGCGTCCCTCCTCCTCACCCTCCGCCCTCGACCTTGTTCTCCAGCTGCAGGAGACCCGTTTGGGCCCTTCTGTTCCCTTCACAGCCTCCAGCGCACACGCACGTGCGCCGACACGCATGTAGAGCTAAACTCACATGCGCTGATGCAAACTTGTGCATTAGTGTCCCCCTGCCCCGACCTTGCACACACAGGCCTTCATACACACACAGACCTGTACATATACGTGTGCTTGCACACACCCTGCACCTCTGCCAGCCCCCGGCTTGGGTCCCCAGAGGCGCTGCCCGCCTGATGGACAGCTCTCCTTGAGAAGCCTGAGATCCCAGGAGGAGATGCCCAGGCGCTCAGCTACACTGCCTGGTGGGGGGAGGGGCTGCGCAGGGGGAGGGGAACCCCCACGTGGGCCAGGAGCTGCCTCCTCTCTCCAACTCTGCCCCAGGAGCCGGGGAGCCCTCCAAGTGCTGGGGTGCCTTACTGCGACCTGCCACGCCGCCCGCCTGCCTCTGAGGACCCTCCCCGTTCCTCGACCTCCGGCTGCGAGTCCGTGGCGGGCCCGGGCCTTGGGCCAGGGCCTGAGAGGTGGGTAGAGCCCCAGGGCTTGGGGAGGGGCTCCCTAGGGGAGGATGCCCTCACCCACCCCACCCTGCACCCCTTCACGATGGCAGGATCTGTCTGCTGGCTGCGGGCATGGGTCACGTGGGCAGGTCACACGGCCTGGGCATAGGCCAGCAGTGGCCATGTTCCTTGGGCCCTAGTTCAGTTTGCTCCTGGGTGAGGAGCAGCCATGCACCCACCCTGCAGGGGGCATGGCCCCCAGCCTGCTCTCATTTCCTTGGCACAGCTTTGAAAGATTAAATAGGTGGGCACCTGTGACCACCCGCCTACCTGACCGTGCGCTGCTCCAGGCTCTGGGGTTCCCTCCACCCCCAGGCCTGAGCTGAACTGAAGTCCCTCTTTGAGGCCATGGTGCCTTGGGAGGGCATGGCCGAGGGCCCAGAAACCTGGGTTCCAGCCTCTGTTCCATCCCCGATGGGCTAAGGAAACAAGTCATTCCCTCCTTTATGCCTCAGTTTCCCTGTTTAAAAAATAAGAGGAATTGAATCAAATCAGCTTTGCTTTGGGAACATGTACGTCTCACAGAGAGGTAGTACTTAACCAAAACCAGCTCTGCCACCAAGTATGTTTCAGAAAGTCTAGGGTAAACAGATTTGAATATCTGTCTTGCAAGACTTGTCAGAAAATTCAGTTTGCTAGCAGGCCTTGTGCTTTTGGGTAGGGTGGTAGAAGTATGTGGTACGTCCCAAACTCATGTGACCACAGACCTTTTTCGGGGCCGTCATCCCTTCCCGTCTTGTAGGTCCATCTGTGGGTCACTCTTTGGGGACACTGCCATCTATAAGCCTACTTGGGCCTCTGGCTATCTGGACTGGCTTGTCTAAAGCAGGGCTTTCTCTGCTACTCCCTCCCTTGGCATCCAGACTGGTGACCCTGTCACTATCTCTGGAGCCCTGCTACCACTTGAGGCCCCCCTTCAGCCCAGTACACCCCCACCCCCACCCCCACCCCGGGGTCATGTCAGTTTTACTGAGCTTGGGGGTTCCACTCCTACTCCAGTGACAGAGGATTGGTGCTGGGGTCACAGGCATGGTTCACAATGCAGCTGTCCCCCTTCCTGGCTCTGTGACCTTGGCCAGACCCTTGAGCTCTCTGAGCCTCAGTGTCTTCATCTGTAAAATGGGAATCATGACACACATTTCTTTTTTTTTTTTTTTTAAGATTTTATTTATTTATTTGACAGAGAGAGAGACAGCGAGAGCAGGAACACAAGCAGGGGGAGTGGGAGAGGGAGAAGCAGGCTTCCTGCCGAGCAGGGAGCCCAATGTGGGACTCGATCCCAGGACCCTGGGATCATGACCTGAGCCGAAGGCAGACGCTTAACGACTGAGCCACCCAGGCGCCCACGACACACATTTCAAAGGGAGACTGTTGTAGCCAAATGAGGCAGTCCATGTGAAAAGCCCAGCACAGGTGTTCACTCCCTCCTTTGCTCTAGTGTGAGGTGTGTGTGTACCTGGGTGGGGTACTACTCCCTAGTTCCCATGACTTTTTGGGGAAGAAGTCATAGGTCTGTTTCTTCTCCCAGGGGCCGGTCAGCAGGGTCCTCCGCAGAGGCGCCCACAGCTGCCCCTGGACACAGGAGCCAGGAGCCGGAGACAGTGCCCTATCTGGGGGGTCTGACCTCCTCCCTGGGAGGCAGCTTCGACGAAGGCCCTGAGTCTGGCACCAGCTCCAGCCCTGACTGCAACACCCCTGATGATACCAGCGACTCGTCCTCCGTGGTGAGCTGAGGAGGGACGGCCGGGGGCAAGATCGCCCCTCTGTGCCAGCCCTGGGGTCCCCCCCAAACCTCCAGACAAGGGTTGAGTCTCTTACACCAGGGAGCTGGGCCAGGGCCCTCTGGAGACTTAGCCGGCACCTTGGGCCGCCCGGACCAACCGCCTGGGAGGGGCAGGGGTCTCTTCCGTGAAAAGACGGAAGGAGTGTCAATTGACAGGAAGTTCCAGGTGAATCACCAGTGGGGTCAGGCTGCCCAATACTCTCAGGTCACAGAGGGCCGGGATGTTGGGCATGCTGTCTGGAGCAAGGATGGGACTGGTTCTGGGCCCTGTCCTGGTCACACGCCTCTGAGCTCCATGACCAGCCCTGGCATAGATCTCTGGAGGACAGAGGAGAGGGAGCAGGGTGGGCAGCCCAGGCAAGGGCTGGGGGCCATTTGGCTGGGAGAAGAGAAGACTCGGGAACTTCCTGGGGTATTCACCCCTCAAAGGGCTGTCACAGGGCAGGAGAGGCAGGTTATCTGTGAGACCTCTGAGGGAAAGTGATGGGACGGCAGTTGTGGGCTCAAGAAGGCTCACCACCCCCTCTGAGGTAGAGACTTTTATGGCCCCATTCTACTGAGGCTCAGAGAAGGGAAACAACTTACCTGAGGTCATGTATCTGGGAAGTGGAGGGGCAAGGCTTTGAACCCACTTCTCTCCGGACCCTGGGGGTGTCTCTGGGGACCGGGGGCTGCCATGCCAGGGCCTTTCTACCACAGGGAGTCCAAATGCCCTGGGTTCAAGTCCCCTCCCACCTAAACCATTTCCCAGCTGCGTGACTTAGGGCAAGTTTTTAGCTCTGACGTACATGCCTGCCTCAAGGGTTGGTTGAAGATTAGCTAAGTTAACGTCTGCAAAGAGCCTGGCGCTGTGCTGAGTACACAGCAGATGCTCTTCAATGTCAGAGCCTTCCCTTTATCTACCTATCTCATGTGGGGAGCACAGGCCCTAGAGGCTCCATGCTTTCTCCTCCCTTCCCTGGCAGGACTGGGACACTGTTGAAAGGCGGGAGGAGGCCTCCAGCAGGGACGAGCTCACCATGATGATCCCGAGGAAGCCCCAGGAAGGGCCAAGAGCTGACAGTGCCCGAAGGGCTCCATCTCTCCTCACCCGGTCCCCCGTGGGAGGGGATACCGCAGGCCAGAGAAAGGAAGGTGAGTCCTGCTAGGCCAGCTTGGTCGCTGTGACCACAGGTGTGGTGATGGCCCGGGGCCTGGCCAGATCTCACTGGCCATCTGGGTCCCCCGGCACATCTTACTTTGGTGGCCTGAGTAATAACAGTACAGTTCCCATATAATTATGGAGCGGCCACGGTGTGCCATGCGACCTACTTTAAATACATCATCTCACAGCTGGTTGGTTAGGATCAGGTTGCAATTGACAGAAACCAACAGAGTGTAAATGAAATGACTCACCTAAGTAGAAAGTTTAGGCGGCTGTGACTTCAGGTATGGTTGGATCCAGATGTTCAAATAGTATCAGAAATCTGGTTTCTACTGTGTTTTCTTCTGCACTGGCTTCGTTCTCAGCCAGACCGTCCCCCAGTCGTGGCATGATGAGCAGCAGCAGGCCCAGGCTGTATCCCACCTGCATATCAGCTCCCAGGAAAGAGGGTACAATCTTGTCCATAGGGTTTTCCCTGGGACCCAACGTGGGTCACATGCCCAACCTGGTGATCAGGGATGGGGTCAGGCCCCTGTGCACACCTCATGGCCTGAGAGTGGGGGAGGAGATTGCCCACAGGAAATCAGGAGGATTGTTTGCAGAGAAAGGGAAAAGGCCACTGGGCAGGCCACGCCCCCAGATGCCCATGACCCTGGTTAGCACCTTGCTGGCATGTGAGCCGCGTATGGGTGATGGGAGCATGTGGAGCACGGGAGTCGGGGGGAGGAGAGAGGAGGCTGATGTAGGGGGCCACTCACACCCTGACCCTCCCTCCAAGCCTGTTTTTCCTGCAGTCTGTTCCATGTCACCACCATTCTGACGGCTCAGGCCCCCAATCTTGTGTTTTCCCGATTTCTCTGTTTCCTCACCTTTGTATTCAGTCAGCAGTTGTGGTTAGCACCACCTGCAAAACACACCTCAAATCTAGCCCCTTCTCGCCATCTGTACAAGTACTCCCTGGCCAAACCACTGCTGCCCCCCGCTGGGATTGTCACCAGAGTCCCCTTCAAGCCTCCGGATTCTGTCCGGCCCTCTCAGTCCATTCCCCACAGCAGCTGGAGCCGCCATTAAAAACACGAGGGGCACCTGGGTGGCTCAGTCGGTTATGCATTTGACTTTTGATTTCAGCCCAGGTCATGATCTCAGGGTCGTGAGATCGAGCCCCTCATTGGGCTCCGCGCTAAGCATGGAGCCTGCTTGCGATTCTCTCTCTCCCTCTGCTCCTTCCCCTGCTCCCAGGCATGTGTGCTCCCCCCCACCCTCTCTAAAAAAACAAACAAAAACATGAATCAGATCTTAACACCACCCCACCCGCACTGCCTTGCCCTCTCAGGCCCCGGGGAGAGAGTGCATGGGAAGAAGTAGTATCACAGAGGATGCAGGGAGCCAAATGCCTCCCCGGAGTGAGAGTGGCCTAATAGGCAGGTGGGATTTTGTACTAAATACCTGCTTTCTTGCTTCTCACACAGGGCAGTGGAGTGGGGGAAGGCTCACTCTGTGCCCTTCTTGATTGAAGGCAGTCACTACTGTCCACTTGGTGGCAGGCTCCCACACTGCAGACAGGGAGCCAAGGCCCCGGAGGAGTTAACCAACTCCAGGATGAGATGTTAGGAACCCCTTGACATGGCGCTCTGGGCACCTCCTAGTTTGCAAAGCACACTCCAAGGGGCAGGCTGCACAGAGCCCCGCCGGCCGAGGAACAGGACGCGGTGCCCTAGGACATACGTAGAGCCTGTCCTGTGTGCGCGTTAGGGGGCTGTGGGAGAGAGGTCAGATCCTGGGGGGGGGCCAGGCCGAAAAGGATGCTCGAGATGGGCAGGCAAGGAAGAAGCCTGGGCTGGGGGTGGGGGCACTGACCCCACCATGAGGCACCGGGAGTGGTGGCAAACGCCATCTCAGCCAGCACCCGTGCTCAAAGGGTGAAGCAGAGCTCAGAGCTGGAGGCGGGCAGCACAGTATGATTGAGCCCTTCCTGTGTGCTCAGCACTTTCCTCAGCCGGGGAGACACAGAGGAAAACTAGAAGGTGGGGCCCCTCCTCAAATGGAGCAGGGAGTCTGGTGGGGGTGGCCAGAGCCTCACCGGCCATGTGAAATCCCTGGATTTTCTTCCAAATGCAGTTGGGAGCCCCTGATGTTTTTGCCATCTTTTATTTTGAAATAATTTTAGATTTATAGCAGAGTTGCGAAGAGTCCAGAGAGTTTCCATTATACCCTTTGCCCAGTTTGCCTAATGTTGACATCTTACAAACCCAAAGTACGGCTATCAAAATTAAGAAATTAACATTGGTATAGCACCACTGTCTAAACTATAGACTTTATTTGGGTTCATCCATTTTCCCCCCTAATGTCCCTCTGTGGTCCTGTGCTCCCATCCAGGACCCACACTGCATGGAGTGTAAGCAGGGGTGATCTAGCCAGGTTTGCTTTTGGAAAGGATCTCCCTGAATGGGATGATGACCTGGGGCCCCCAGTGCACATGCTGGGGGCTATTGCAACCATCCAGGCGAGGGATGTGGGTGGCTGAGGGGGAGGTGGGAGGAGGCGGATAAGAGAAGCCGGCCGATTTAGAACGCCATGGGGCGTCAGTTCATTGGGCAACAACAATGAAAAATTAAGTGCTGCTATGTGCTTGGTTCTGGTCCCTTGCTAGGTGCTGGAAATTCAGACTTCAGGGCCAGCAGGTCAGAAAGTTTGGAGGAGACAGCTTTCCAAGCAGGAGGGGAGGGCGTCTTAAGCATGGCCTTTCTTTTCTTTTCTTTTTACTTATTTATTTGAGAGAGAGTGAGCGTTCGAGAGAGCTAGCACAAGCTGGGTGGGGGGTGGTAGAGGCAGACTTCCCACTGAGCAGGGAGCCGGATGTGGGGCTCCATCCCAAGACCCCGAGATCATGACCTGAGCCAAAGGCAGACACTTAACTGACTGAGCCACCCAGGTGCCCCTTAAGCATGGCCTTTAATGAAAGCAGTGGTGGCTCGTTCCAGAAGCCACCATACCCTTTATTCCTCTCCTGAAGCTCCGGCCTGGGGACACACACACAGCTGGGGGCCACCACATGCTGGGTGACCAAGGGCTGAGGGGGCTGGAGGGTGACACTGAGGTCATGGTGGTCCCTCCCTGGGAATGGGAGTTGTGAAGGGGTCCCTGTTTAGGGCAGTTACATTAATATCTCGGACCAGGGCTGCTTAGACTATAATGTGCATGCAGATCACCTGGGAATCTTATTAAAATGTAGATTTCTCGCAGTGCGCCCAGGGGGGCCCTGAGAGTCTGCATTTCAGGCAAACTCCCAGGTGAGGCCCATGCTGCAGGTTCACAAAAGTCCATGCCAGGCTCAGGGCAGCCCTGAGAGCATCCGGGGCAGGAGCCTTTCTGGGTATAAGGAATGGGAGCTTTCTAGAGCTATCACACGTGAAAGAGCCTCCTTAGAAGAGATGGGGGGAGTTCTCAGATCCCACTCGCAGGAGGTAGAACAGGGAAAGGGAAGTTGCTAGGTAGCTGCCCCCAGACCCACCCCTCCCTCTCTCGGGTCCCGTGGGCTCTTGTCGAAAGAGCTCTCTAGGACGCCTGGGTGGCTCAGTTGGTTAAGCAACTGCCTTCGGCTCAGGTCATGATCCTGGAGTCCCAGGATCGAGTCCCGCATCGGGCTCCCTGCTCGGCAGGGAGTCTGCTTCTCCCTCTCCCACTCCCCATTTGTGTTCCCTCTCTCGCTGTGTCTTTCTCTGTCAAATAAATAAATAAAATCTTTAAAAAAAAAAAAAAAGAAAGAAAGAGCTCTCTACAAGTTTGTGCAGGGATCCCCAGTCGATGTGCCCTTTCAGCTCTGGAGCCTACCTTCCAGTGACTGAGTCAGCTGGGGTTTCAATGTCAAGTTCCCAGCCTCAGCTTGAGAGAGGCCTTTAAGCCTCATCCGATCTAACTCGCTCCGAAGGGTGAACTCACTTGGTCTGGACAGTGGGTCCTCTAAGAAGGGGCTGTGGCCTCTGCCTTAATCATCTGTCCCAGGGCACAAAGAGAGGTTGTGTGTGAGACCCCTCCCCTTACCTTGAACCCGCCTCTCCTCTCTCCAGACACCAGTGGGAGCCGAAGTGCCGGACAGCACTGGGCGAAGCTCCGGGGAGAGAGTGGGAACTTCTTGGCGCGGCACCGGTTGGCACTAACCCCGGCTTCCTGTGCGACACTGCAGGGCGGACCTCGCAGTGCCACCCCCCAGGCTTCCTCTCTTCATTGTTCTGCCCAGAGGGATGTTGCCCAGACTGCTTCCACACAGTTCGATACCCCCCGAGCCTCCTCTCCCACACAAATCGCCCAACGGGACAAACCCAGAACCTCATCCACCCAACAGGACATCCCCAGGACCTCTCTCACACAGCACAACACCCCCAGAGCATCCTCTCCCTCAAGAATCGCCCAACGGGATAACCCCAGAACCTCCTTCGTCCAACGAAACAGTCCTCGAGTTTCCTCTCCCACCAGAGCCACCCGACAAGACAACTCTAGAACCTCTTCTATCCAACAGGACAACCCTCAGACTTCTTTTCCCACATGTATTTCCCAGAGGGACAACCCCAGAGCCTCCTCTCCCAACAGAACCATCCAACGGAGCAACCCTAGAACATCCTGTGCCCAACTGGACAATCCCAGAGCCCCCTCTCCCAACAGAGCCACCCAGCGGGACAACTCCAGAACATCCTGTGCCCAACGGGACAATCCCAGAGCCCCCTCTCCCAACAGAGCCACCCAGCGGGACAACTCCAGAACATCCTGTGCCCAACGGGACAATCCCAGAGTTCCCTCTCCCAACAGAGCCACCCAGCGGGACAACTCCAGAATATCCTGTGCCCAACGGGACAATCCCAGAGCCCCCTCTCCCAACAGAACCATCCAACGGGACAACTCCAGAACATCCTGTGCCCAACGGGACAATCCCAGAGCCCCCTCTCCCAACAGAACCACCCAACGGGATAACTCCAGAACATCCTGTGCCCAACGGGACAATCCCAGAGCCTCCTCTCCCAAAAGAACCACCCAGCGGGACAACTCCAGAACATCCTGTGCCCAACGGGACAATCCCAGAGCCCCCTCTCCCAACAGAGCCATCCAACGGGGCAACTCCAGAACATCCTGTGCCCAACGGGACAGTCCCAGAGCCCCCTCTCCCAACAGAACCACCCAACGGGGCAACTCCAGAACATCCTGTGCCCAACGGGACAGTCCCAGAGCCCCCTCTCCCAACAGAACCACCCAACGGGGCAACTCCAGAACATCCTGTGCCCAACGGGACAGTCCCAGAGCCCCCTCTCCCAACAGAACCACCCAACGGGGCAACTCCAGAACATCCTGTGCCCAGCGGGACAATCCCAGAGCCCCCTCTCCCAACAGAACCACCCAACGGGACAATCCCAGAGCTTCTTGTATTCAACAGAACATCCCCAGAACCTCTCCTACCCAACGGGACAACCCTAAAACCTCTTGTATGCAATGGAATAACCCTAGAACCTCTTATACTCAACGAGACAATCCACAGTCTTCCTCTCTACGGGACAACCCTAGAACTTCCTCCCCTCGATGCTGCACACAACGGGACAATCCCAGGAATTCTTCTCCCCATCGTACTAACAAAGATATTCCCTGGGCCTCCTTTCCTCTCCGCCCAACCCAGACTGAAGGCCCCCGAACCTCTTCCCCATCTCGCTCCAAGCAAAGTGAGGTTCCCTGGGCCTCCATTGCCCTTCGGCCAACCCAAGGGGACAGGCCTCCTCAGACCTCATCTCCTACTAGGCCAACTCTGCGCGACCCACCTCTCTCCTCCTCCGGATCTACTCGACACAACTCACCATCTCCGGCCGCTTCCTCCTCCCATAACCCCGGCCCCCACAGTGCCTCCCGGACTTCTTCACCTCTGTACCCTGCTACCTGCGGGGCACCCCAGACCTCTTCTGAGCCCTCCCAGCCTCCATGTTCTGTGTGTATTGGGCATCGGGATGCCCCTCGAGCTTCCTCACCTCCTCGCTATTTGCAACATGACCCCTTCCCCTTCTTCCCAGACCCCCATGCACCTGAGGGTGAATCGCCCCACCACAACCCCCCCTATATACCTCCAGCCGTGTGCATTGGACACCGGGATGCCCCCCGGGCTTCTTCACCCCCCCGCCACACCCAGTTTGACCCCTTCCCCTTCCTCCCAGACACATCAGATGCTGAGACTCAGTCCCCCCAGCATGACCCTCCTCAGTTCCCCCCACCTGTGTGTATTGGGTACCGTGATGCACCCAGGGCCTCCTCCCCGCCGCGCCAGCCCCCAGAGCCATCCCTGTTATTCCAGGATCTTCCCAGGGCCAGCACTGAGAGCCTTGTCCCCTCCACGGACTCTCTGCACGAGCACCCCACATGCCCACCCCCTGTGTGCATTGGGCACCGAGATGCACCCTCCTTCTCGTCCCCACCACGCCAGGCCCCTGAGCCCTCCCTCTTCTTTCAGGATCCCCCAGGGACTAGTATGGAGAGCCTGGCCCCCTCCACTGACTCTCGGCATGGCTCCCCAATGCTGCCCCCCCAAGTGTGCATCGGGCACCGGGATGCACCTAGAGCCTCCTCCCCACCCCGCCACCCCCCCAGTGACCTAGCGCTCCTGGCACCCTCACCTCCGCCAGGCAGCTCGGGGGGCTCCCGGGGCTCAGCAGCCCCTGGGGAGACCAGGCACAACTTGGAGAGGGAGGAGTACACCGTGCTGGCTGACCTGCCCCCGCCCAGGAGGCTGGCCCAGAGGGAGCCAGGGCCCCAGTGCAGCAACGGGGGCCGCACCCGCAGCCCTGGCCGCGCGGAGGTGGAGCGCCTCTTCGGGCAAGAGCGCAGGTGAGCTCAGGGCGGGGCCAGCTAGGTGGGCTGGGGAGGAGGCTCGGCAGCAGGACAGGTGGAAGGTTCACAGGCTTAGGTTGGCAGATAGGAAGGGTTCAGACCCCCACCCTGCCACTGACTGGCTGTGTGACCTTGGGCGAGTCACTTCATCTCTGTTTCCACATTTTAGGAGGGTTTTTTTTTTTTTTAAGATTTTTAAAATTTATTTATTAGAGAGAGAGAGTGAGAGAGAGAGCGCAAGAGGGGGTAGGGTTAGAGGGAGAAGCAGACTCCCGGCCAAGCAGGGAGCCCGATGTGGGACTCGATCCCGGGACTCCGGGATCATGACCGGAGCCGAAGGCAACCGCTTAACCAACTGAGCCACCCAGGCGCCCTTTAGGAGGTTTTTTTGGACAACCGAGCGATACTGTGTGTAGCCTAATGGTTAAGAGCAAAGGCCAGGGTCAGGCGGGCTGGGTTCAAATCCTGGGTCAAACCCACTCCCCAGACTGTGTGACCTGCTAAAGTGATTTAACCTCCCTGAGCCTCAGTTTCCTCATCTGTAAAATGGGGAGAATGTTAGTACATTAAATAAGGTTAAACTCTCAAACCCTTTCTTTGATCCAGAATCACAGGTTTATTTATTTTTTCCTTCCTTCTTACCTGAGGGAAAAGAAAGTACCTATGATTCTTTTCTGCTTTTTAAAAATTTTTTTCAAATTCTTTTCTTTTCTTTTTTTTTTTTCTCTTCTACTTTAACCAAGAAAACTCATGGGTCCCCTTGAATTTCAGAAAAGAGATGTCAGTTTAAAATGAATGGCCAAAGCCACATATTTTAAATAAGAGAACTCATAGAATTACAAATTTTGTAGAAGTTAAATGTCACTGTCCTCGGACATGGCAACAATGCCGGAAGTCCAGTCCAAGTATCCCGCAAGTCTCTTTGGTCAGCAGGGCCGCACAGGTAGTTTATGACCCAGAGCGTCTGCTTTGGCACAGCTCGGGGAGGGAAAACATTTCCTCCCGATCTGGCTGAGATTTCTTTCTCCAGCAGTTCCAGGCCCAGAGTTTTCAAGGACCGGGCTGGAATACCATTAGTTAAGGTTAAAAGAACCCAAAAAAGTAGGTCTGGAAGTCTCAAAACTTACAATGTATAATTCAATACATTACAGTGTATTTACTGAGATAGAGTTGTATAGCCACCCACAACCTAATTTGAGAAACTTTCCATCACCCCGGGAGCAGGTAGTATTTTGCATTCCAGAATTCTTCCTTGTTTTCCTTGGGGCAGTATTTTCTCTTAGATTTGAATCTACTTGAGAAACCTTATCTCTTACTCTTCAGATTTCCTTCTCCGGTAAGTTTTATCCATTTACTACCCAGGTGACAACCCCTGGGGTCTCCATCATTATTGTAATTCTATCTTTGGTCTTTAAACAAACAAAAAACACACATTTTAATTTTTCTAGGGCAGTTTTAGGTTCATAGCAAAATTGAACGGAAAGTACAGAGATTTCCCACTCAGCCGCCCTACACACACATTCTACCCCCACTACAACAGCCCCCACCAGAGTGGAGCATTTGTTACAAACCGTGAACCTACATTGACATGGCATTATTACCCACCGTCCATAGTTTACAACAGGGCTCCCTTCTGATTGTACGTTCTGTGGGTTTGGACAAACATATAATGGCACGTATCCACCGTTGTGCTATCATGCAGAGTATTTAACTGCCCTAAAAACCCCCTTGTCTTTGGCCTTTTTTATGATTACTATTTTTGGTCCAGTATCAGTTTGCATACCTTTGATTTTATCTGATAATTCAGCAGGGACACTAAAGGTCTTTATACCAGAGTTATATTTTCTTCTTTTTCTTTTTTTCCTTATGGTGATAACTTAGAGAGAGAGAAAAGGTTTATAATAGAAGTCAGGAATATGCTTATACTCTTGTTAACCGTTTAATTATTTTTCCATAGATACTTCTATTCATTTTATTTTACTCTCTTTGAAGTTGTTTACCTTTTTAAAGCTTTATTGCAGTATAATTGATAGACAAAAAATTGTATATATTTAAAGTCTACATTTTGGTGAAGTAGACTATTTACTATTAATCAAGACTTTATAACTCTACTGAGTACGTAAGTTATTTTCTCTTGTATGGCACTTTTTCCAAATAGAAAAACATTTGTCGTCTAAAGATGAAATTTTAAAACTATTTAAATATCTGTAAGGGACAGACTGAAAGTTACGAGTGGGTGGCTAGAGGGCCATGCTTTTATTTTCTTCCATATATTCATTCAACATGTATTTATTGAGCATCTACTCTGTCCAAGCATTGTCTAACTGAGCCTGGAAAATTTCTCTTAAAGGGCTATCCCATTAAAGCATTAGGCGTTTTGGCTTGATAGCTTCATTCTTCCCCCTCTAGATGCCTAGGAGCCAGGAGCCAGGAGTAGTTTTCTCTGTTATCCTCCCCAACCTAGTCATTTGGAGCTTTCACTATGTGGAGCCCCCAACACCTGGTTCTAGGGAAAACTCCCCCTGAGGCCTCAGATCTAATCCTCCTCGTCTCAGATAGATTAAAATGATCAAGCAGCACTTAAACTCAGAAACACTAACTTGGGTGGAGAACTTTGGCTTCCTGTGAGTCTACAAAAACTCGACTTACTTTATGGGTCTGGTGTTTTTTTTTTTTAAGATTTTATTTATTTATTTGAGATAGAGAACGACCATGAGCAGGGGGAGAGGCAGAGGGAGAGGGAGAAGCAGACTCCCCACTGAGTGCAGAGCCTGATGCGGGGCTTGATCCCTGGACCCCAAGATCATGACCTGAGCCGAAGTCAGATGCTTAACCAACTGAGCCACCCAGGCACTCTATGGGTCGGATTCTAATGACATTGGCAAAAGCCATAGACAACAGCAACAAAGCCCAAACTCATAATTCTTTTACTCTCTAAAGCCTCTGTGGAGTTTCAGTGTAGTTCCCAAGGGAGAGGCAGGCTGAAGGCAAAGCACAGGTCTGGTGAGCAGAGATCCCTCTTCCCTTTTGGCTGGCTCCATTGGGGCTTGGCACCGGGTTGTCTCTTTCAGGCTTCCCTCAGTTCAGTCCAGCCATTAGAGACCCAGCTCCCTTTGTCCATTTAGATGAAGTCAGACCTGTTGAAATAAACATCCAGTGGAGCTGCTGAGTCTTGGGTTTTGATGCCCTTACATACGGATGGGAGAGGTGTGCCCAGATTCTGTCTGGTTGCTACCTTTCAACAGAGATGTCATGTTAAATATTAACAACCACAGCTACCCATTGTTAAGCAAGACAATGAACTGGAACTAGGGACTTTTTACAGCTTACAGGTTATCTCTGTTGGATGTGGCAACAATACCTGGAGTCCAGGTGTCTTAGAAGTGACATTTACGTGAACAGTTTACATTGGCCTTTCTGGAAATGTAGAGGATGTTTCTTCCTTCTGATCTTGCTCAGAGCTCTTTTACTGACAGCTAGGATGGCCTGGAGTGTTCAAGGCTAAGTGCTGGAACCCTCTTAGTTACCGAGGGGGAGGAAAGATGGGCCTGGGAAATCCCAAACTCACCATGCAACAGGAAAAGGGCAGAAAGAATGGGATATGGGGGTACGTAACTCTCTGCATCTCCCCTCCCCACCTCATGGGGTGCATGAGAGAAAGTGGGATGGTCAAGTGCTTGGCACCTGGAACATAGGAAGTGCTCAATAAATGTGTGCTGTTACGATCACGTGTGCCCAGTGCCTGGTACACAGTAGGTGCTCAATAAATCTTAATTCCCGCAAGGTCCAGTCTAACCTTTGTCTAGGGGTGAGTGGTGGGCTACTCGTGGGGTGGTGGTCAGAAACAGGAAGTACTGAGTGAGACAGGAGGCAGTCAAGGCCAAGGCTAAGCCCCCCATCCTATGCTTACCCTTTTTCCCACTTCATTGCCCCCTGAGGTAGACAGATTAGAGTGGTTGACTATCCTCATTTTTCAGAAGGGGAAACTGAGAACCTGAGAGGATCATCCCTTACTTAGGGCCCTTCAACAAGCTCATGGCGGGCCCCCCAGTCTCCCACATCTCCTCCCATTGGGGCGGGAGTAGAGGAACCGGGATGCTGGGAGTGGGACAGCCCCAAGGGCCCTCAGAGGGGCGGCTGCATTTGCTCATAGGAAGTCCGAGGCACCGGGGGCTTTCCAGGCCCGGGACGAGGGGCGGTCGCAGCGGCCCAGCCAAGGTCAGAACCAACTTCTCCGAAGACAGTCCAGCCCTGCCCTCAGCAGGGAGGTGAGCACTGCCAGTCTGCCCTGGGCCCCTGCAGCCCCGAGAGGTGGGCCACTGCTTCTCCCCTCCCCCAGGTGCCAGGCAGCAGTCTTGGGAAGGGAGGTCCTTTATGAAAGGGTCCGAGCCCCAATCATGGGCGTCCAGCTTCCCCCTCTCCCAAAGAGCCAGCAGTTCTTGGCAAAATTGAGAAGGACCCCACATTAGTCCTTTGTAGATGGCCCTTCCATGTTGTCACCCTCCTTCATTAGGCACCTGCTATCTTGAAAAGCTTTCAGGGAGAGCCCCGGATGCATCATTCCGGCTTTAAGGGCTATGTCTTCCAGGGTGGCCATTCGTATTTTTAAAGAAACTCTTAGAGAGCAAGGCCCGACCCAGTGGAGTGGGGTATTGGTAGTGGAAGTTCCGGCACCTGATAGCGCAGGTTGGAATCAATATCTTGGCTGGGGGGGGGGGGGGGGGGCAGGGAAGTAAGCAGCGTTTTAAAGATCTCTTTCTGAAAGTGAGGAGATTGGGTGAAAGGGAAGAGCTGACCCCCGCCCCCCACCGCCAGGGAGGGAAATCAGGGACCCTAGGTACTTTGTGGCTTGTTGTCATCCAGGCTGCTGTGAAGACAGCCTGCCTCTCTCCAGGCCTGGCAAAAGCCAATCTGTCCTAGAGAGAGACCGCCCAGTCAGGGTCCTGGAGCCTTACCCACCCCCTCACCTCATCCTCAGGTAACCAAGCCCCTTGCGAAGCAGGCAGAACCGGCCCAGAGGAGCCAAGCAGAGCCCCCTCATCCCAGGAGCCCCGAGAGGCAGCCTGAAGGGGACCGGCAGCTCCAGGGGTCCTCGCTGCCCCCAAGGACATCAGCCAGGACCCCTGAGAGGGAGCGACGGACAGAGAGACCTTTGGAAAGTGGCCGGGCGGGCCCAAGACAGCCTCTGGGGGGGTGGCAGAGTCCAGAGGAGCCTCCAGGAACCCAGGGCCCTCACAGACATCTGGAGAGAGGGTGCGGCAGCCTGCAGGAGGGCCCAGGCCTGGGGGGCTGGCAAGGACTTGGGGAGCCCCACCGGGGGGTTGCCAAAGCCCCAGAGGGAACTTGGAGGGGCCCTCTCAGGGAGTCCGAGGAGAGCTGGGGGCAGCTGGGTGGCCCCACCGGCCACAGGGGGCAGGCAGAGGCCTGGGAGGAGCCCCCCAGTAATGGGTTGTGGGAGTCCCCCGACAGGTCAGTTCAGAGAGGTTGGGGCAGCCTGCAGGACCTGCCCAGTGCTCACCAGCCTAGGAGCCCCCCAGAGAACTCCAGGATAGGCCCAGCAGAGTTCTTGAAATCTCAGAGGACTGAGACACCCACCACCATGGGCTGGGGGGCTGAGGGAACGTGCCCACACCTGCACAGCCCTGAGAGGCAACGCGAGCTCGACGGGAAGGACCTCGTGGGCCTTCTCGGGGCGCCCAGAGAGGGGGCCTGGGCCCGCACGGAGGAGTCGACGCTCACCTCCCACCTTCCCAGGTTGGACTGGGAAGGCCTCCTGGAGCTCCTGCAGGCCCAGCTGTCCCGCAAGGACCCAGCTGGACACTGGGGTACCCCGGCCCCGGCTTCAGGGCCAGAGGTGGGTTCCCCAGGCACAAATGGTGCCCCAGAGCTAGAGCGACAGGGCCAGCCTGACAGCTGGGAGGAGTCCACCCTGGTCAATGGACAGAGCGCTGGGCAGTGGCCCCAGAGCTCCGCCCAGCCGCCCAGCCCTGCCTGCACCGCCACCCAGTGGCCAAAGACCAAAGTGACGAGTGGACCAGAGACCTCAGCTAAGGCTGGTCTGGAGGAGTTGGGCCCGCTGGGAAGCAGGAGCCCTGCAGAGGGTCCCAGCTTGCCAGACTGGGAGGTAAGTCTGTCTCACGTGCAAGGGACAGCCTGAAAAGCCGCCCCACCCAGACAAGGATCCTTAGAAAGGCCTCCCTTCGGCTCCTGCACGCCCTCCAAGGCTCAGCCCTAATCCTCCCTCCTGACCGACACTTTCCCAACCACCCAACTGGGCAGCAGTGATAACAACCCACACTTTTTGATGACCAGCATTTACTACCCGCTAAGCCCTGGTTTGGGTATTTCTGGGTATTTTCCTCCTTTAATCTCCACAGCAACCTGATGAGAAAGGCACTGTGTATTCACAGATCAGGAACCTGAGGCACAGAGAGGTTAAGCTACCTGAGATCACACAGCTAGTAAGGGCTGGGGCTGGGGTGAGGGATCCCGCGGGACGGCTCAGCGCAGACCACCCCGGGTCTTCAAGCAAGGTGCTCTGCCCAGGGCACTCCCCCTTCCCGGCTGTGCAGGTCCTCTTCCTGTGGCCTCTGGTGGTTCCTAACTGACCCTGGCTTGGACCACAACCAGTGTGGTCAAGTCCCCTCCCCCCTGCCCCATTTGAAGTTCCTCAAAGTCAGGACAGCTTCACTTAGCCCTTTCTGGCCCCTACCAGCTCCTCTTAGGCACAGAGAAGAGGTTGCACACATGCTCGTTGGGTTGAGTGGGCTGCTATTTATTTATTTTTTTTTTAAAGATTTTATTTATTTTTATTTGAGAGAGAGAGAATGAGAGAGAGGGAGTACATGAGAGGGGGGAGGGTCAGAGGGAGAAGCAGGTTCCTTGCTGAGCAGGGAGCCTGATGCGGGACTCGATCCCGGGACTCCAGGATCATGACCTGAGCCGAAGGCAGTCGCTTAACCAACTGAGCCACCCAGGTGCCCTAAGCCAGGCTATTTAAATAAGGGCCCGTGTGCAAGGCAAGCCCAGTGCCTGGCACGGAGTAGGAGCTCACCAGGTCCCTTCCCTGCCTCCTTCGCCCCAGGGGCAGGGTCACGGAGTCAGTGGTACTCTGGTGCTGCCCGGAGCATCTACCTGAAGCTGGTGGCTGGGGAGGGTCCTGGAGCCCAGAGCGGGGCAAGCTAGCCTCAGCTCACTGGGAATGTAGCATGCACTTTGGGGCACCCAGCCTCTCTTGCCCTGTAAAATGGGACCAGCTGCTTCCCTCATAGGCTCCGCTGGGGTGATTTGGAGGCTCCTGCTCGTTCATCCAAACGCCCTCACTTCCTTGATGTCCAGCCCAATGCCGCCTCCCTCCTGGACAACACTATACCGGGTTCTGAGCCTGGTGCCTTACATCCTTTGCCACGTATGCCTCAGCCTGATAGAAGGCTCAGCCACGTCTGGCATTTGCCGGGGGTCACGCATGCATAAATTGTGAGAAATCAGATCAAAGCTTCAACTCCAAAGCCCCAGCTTTTAACTGCCATGTTGTGAAGCCTCTGAGCGCAGGGTCCGACTGGGGAGCCCCTTCCCCTGTATTTCCCTGAGGCTTTTATCTACTTACTCTCCAATTGATTCAATGCACACGCACCGGAGATGCAGGGATGAACCAACTTGGTCCTGCCCCCCTGGCCAGAGGGGGATTGGGGACTTTGGAGCCCCTGCCCAAGAAGCTGTCACATTTGTCAGGGAGGTATATGGACCACTGGCAGCTCAGGGAGGAGGGGTGCTATGGCCCAGTGGATGCTGGGACACTGCTGCCTGGCCTGGTCTACCGGAAAGAGTCTTCCCTAGCACTTGCTCCCTGGTGAGGCTCCGGAGTCCCTGGGAAGTCAGCCATGGCCACTAGGGAGGGGTGGGAGCACCAGGTGCTTAAGGGCATTTCACGAATGACACCGAAGAGGCATTTACCAGGTTGCTGGGGCACCAGTTGGTCACCCTCTATGCAAATCCTTGGCATGGCTTCCCGCTGCCCTTCCTTCCACCCCAGATTTGCTCTCTACTCCGTGGAGCTGGCTGCAGAGCTCTGCGGGCACATCTCCCTACCTTTGCACGTGCCTTTCCCATTGCTTAGGATGCTCTTCCCTTCCCTCTTCACTCACCGAACACTTGTTCATCGTTCAAGTCTTAGACCAGGTGCCCTGTTTTGAGATATCTTCCCTGAATACTCACCCTACCCCTACGTTGGAAATGTTTCCCTTCCAGGCTCGGTAGTTCTGTCATTTCCCCCATAAGAAAGTTGTCATTTCCCCCATAAGAAAGAGGAGCCCCCTGGGGGTGGGAGCTGCACCTACTTTATCTCTGCATTTCTGGCTCCTGGCCCAGGACGTGACACAAAAGAGGAGCTCAGCTCAATGGATGATTGATCAGTGAATCCATGAATGCTTTGAATGCATGCAAGAAACAAATGGAGGATGGGTGGGTCAGTGGGTAGATGATGGATGAATGATGGACAATATGGGTGATGGACAGATAAATAGGTAAATATGATAAATGATAAAAAGATGTTGGGTGGAAAGTTAGGTGGGTGATGGTGGAATAGATAATGGGTGTTGGATAGATGATGTTGCTTAGATGAAAGATGGGATGATGAACTGATGGATGGATGAGTAGAATATGTATGGATGGTGTGTGGAAGGGTAAATGTGGAATATGGATGATGGGTGGTGAATGAATGTTGGAAGGATGAGTAGAATGATGGATGGATGGATGGATGGTTGGATGGATGGATGTTGGATGGGTTGAGAAAGGCTATATGGATGTAGGATGGATGGATAGAGGATGGATGTATGAGTGGGATAATGGATATTGAATAGGTTAGTGAGTGGATAATGTAGGGTAGACATTGGTTGGTTGGATGGATAATACATGGATCTATTGATATTGAATGCTAGATGGATGTTGGATGGATGAATGATCAACGGGTGGATAAGAAGGTAGATACATGAATGGAACCTGGGGAATAACCTGAGCTAAGCTGTGTTCTTTCTTATCTCCAGTTCCAATCAGAGGAGCCTGAGGAGTCAGAACCAAGCAAAGGCCAAGACTCACTGACCGACCAGAAGCAGGCAGACTCGGTAGTTGGGTCGTGGGTGTGGGAACATAGGGAGGTGAAGGGAAGGGAAATCAGACTGGAGGTGGGCTGAGGTCCTCTGATGAGCTCTAGGGTCATCCAGACCAGGGTTGGCTATTCCATGGCGTCATCTGTGTGCATGGTAGGGCCTCTAGAGGAGGGGCTCCCGAGGAGCTGGGCAGCAGAGCTACCTTCGGGCCTGGGGACCTGGGCAGGTAAACGATCCTGGGGTCAGAAGCCCAGGGCTCTGCTTTTAACTTGCTAGAACGTCCTGGAAAGTCACTCTCCCCTTTTCTGGGCAAATGGCAGTTTGACCCCGATGGTGTCTGAAGGCAAGGCCCTTCTGGTTCTGGAGGGCTGGCCAGGCAGGGAGAAGCAGTAGAGATTCCAAGAGCTGGAGCCAGGAGGTGCTGCCGTCAGCTGAGCCTGGATGGTCTCCAGGGTCCGGGGCGGGAGAGATGTGTGCAGGGGGTGGGACCCAGTGAGGCTGCTGGGAGGCCTGGCTGCAGCTGGAGCACATTGCTGCGCCCCACCCCTCCCCACAACCTGCCAAACAGACTGTTCTCATCACCCTCGGCCTCCAGAGAGGTGAGGTCAGCGCTGACAGCCTGCGGCAGCGGGAGACAGGGAGAAGGAGACAGGCTGCTTGCGGCTGTTCTTTCTTCATCCTGCTCTTGTTCCGCTGTTGCTGTGCTCCGCCTGAGAAGCCGATTGGTGGTGGTGGGAGGGGGGGATGCATCTGTCTGGCAGCCTGGAACCCCCGGTCTGGCCCTGCCGCTAATCAGAGCTGGGCAGGGGGCGGATTCTGCCCCTCACTGTGCAGATGAGGAAACGAGTCATCCCAGGTCACGCAGCCAGGCAGTGACTGACCTCCAACTAGAACCTGGGGCTCGGGACCCCCTTCCCGCAGTCCCTCTGCTGCCTGGATGTTGCTTCCTGGCTCTGTCCTGATTCCCCACGTGGCCTCCCAGAGTGGCAGCAGGATTCTCATTGCTTGGTGGCCCATCTTCCCGTCTGTGACATGGGAGGGGACAGAGGACTGGTCACTGAAGGCGCTTCTTACTCTCACAGGGGCTCTGGCAACTTTGCTCTTCCTCTTTTTTCTGTGTTATTTCTTCATATTTCCTGGGGCCAGAGTTTTGTGAACAAAGAAGAAATAGCAATAGAGGGGTCCCCCTATAATCTCCACCAACATGGAAACCTCTCAGTGCAGCCCCAGGCAACCTGGATTGGACAGAGCTGATGACTGGTTCACTAGCTCGTTCCTTCATCCATCCATCCATCCATTCATTCCTTTATTCACGTACACTTAGCCAGCACCTTCTGCATGCCTGGGTGTAGGCCAGAAGTAAATTGGAGTGCATGCAGCTCCTGGTCCAGTGGCCGGGGCTGTGCTGGGGGAATGTGGTGGGAAGGTGGGGAGCAGTCCTTCCCCCGAAGCCTTCCCGGGCCTGTGATTTGATGCCTGATGTCCCACTGCCAGATGATCTCTGGATTCTGAAGAGTGGGGACACCTGGACTCTGTCCTACCTCTCTGCCAGTAAGCTGCTGGGGGACTTTGGAGAAATGCCTCTGCTTTGCTGGGGCTTGTCCCTCAACAAGGATGACTGCAAAGGGGGCACATTTGGGGGCTCTGCCAGGGGTGGCTGCAGAAGTCTGTGTGATTCATTCCTTTCATAAAGGGGGGAGAGGAAGGCAGATGGGAGCACTTGTGTGACCTCTTGGTGCCAGACGGGTTGTTGCCATGGGGGAGATGGACCCAGAGTTTCCACATCTTTAGGTATTACAAGAGAAACTGGAAATCGGCGGTTATATGTTAATCTCTTGTTTCTTTAACATTGGAACCTAACGCAAAATAATCTGAAAACCCTATGCAGACTGAACATACGTCGGGGGTCTGCACACCCTTCCTTACTGGCCACCTGTGGTTTGACTTTAGGGTGGCGAAGTGCACGTCTCCAAAGGTGCTGAGCCCCAAGAGCCCTATCAATCAAACACCCTGTAGTGTGAATGAGTTAACACGCTTTTTTTTTTTTTTAAGATTTTTTTATTTATTCATTCGAGACACAGAGATAGAGAGAGAGAGAGCATGAGCAGGGGGAGAGGCAGAGGGAGAGGGAGAAGCAGGCTGCCCGCTGAGCCAGGAGCCCGATGCGGGGATCGATCCTAGGACCCTGGGATCATGACCTGAGCCGAAGGCAGACGCTTAACCATCTGAGCCACCCAGGCGCCCCAACAAGCTCTTTTCTTGGCAGTTCTCTGAGACAAGAAAGATGGGCCTTTGAGGTGGGCATGGCAGAATAGGCAGGGGAGACTAGTCAGGGACCCCCCATCCCACCAAAGGGACCTGGGGGCCAACACTGGACCCTATTTGACAGGCAGACAAGAGGCCAGCGGAGGGCAAGGCTGGGAGCCCACTCAAGGGCCGACTGGTGACCTCATGGCGGATGCCCGGGGACCGTCCCACGCTGTTCAATCCGTTCCTGCTGTCTCTGGGGGTCCTCAGGTGGCAAAGGGTAGGCTGGCTCCAGCGGGGTGGGAGGGATGAGGGTGGGAGAGAGGGGGAGGGGAGGAAGGACGTTGGCGTTAGTCAAAGGAGGGAGAGTGGGGGCTGAGAGGGGGGGACTTGGGGCTCCCACATGAGAAAGGAAGGATGGAAGCACAGTCCTAAGGGCCCCGTGGTCTCTGCAAATGAGTGGGATTTCCCACCTCCAGGACAGGACTGGGGCTGTTTTCAGTTTTCGGGGTGAGGTGGGATTGAATAATCTACATGGCTGAAAGCTCCCAATCAGCAACTGGGCCAAGGGGAACCAGGTTTTCGGGGGGGAAGGGAGAGTGGGATGGCCTGTGGGGGGCTCTGGGATTGCAAAGTGTGTCTCAGACCTGGGCCTGAGCCAGTTTCACAAACATCTGGCATTACGTAACCTACCCCCTGCCCTGAGAGGGCTGTAAACACTCAGGCCTCTGGTTCAGGGTTTCCTCAAGGGCAGGGAGGGGAGGCAGCTGTGACTCGCTCCCTCTTGCCCCCTTCACAGCAGAGACAAGGGGCCTGGCCTCTCCAGGGGCCACTGGCTGGCTCAAGGGCTCTCTTCTCTTAGTGACAGGCTGATTCTTGTATTCTCATTGGCCCTGGGTGCAGCACTAGGCTGGGCATGTTAGGGACAGTACACCCATTTTGCAGATGAGGGGATGGAGGCCCACGGAGGTGGGCTGACTTGCTCGAGTGGCACAGCTTGGGTTTAGAGGAGCTGGCCTCTTGCTGATTTTCCTCATTCCTAGATGAGAGAATGGCTGCAGCTAATCACCCGAAGCCTCAGTGGCTACATCTGTATAATGGGGAAAAGTCTATAGTGACTCTCAGGGCTGCAGAGAGAGCTTGGGGAGATCAGGATGCACAGAGGTGTGATGGTAGGGGGTGGGTGGCGTCCAAACACTAACTTTCCCAGCCACTTCATGATTTCCTCCCTGCTGTTTTTGGGGGTTAAGGCACTAGGGTGATCGGACAAACATGGTTATCTGGGCAGGGTGGTACCTTCAAGCCCTGGGCGGGATTTACCTTATCACACTAACTAAAGGTCACTAACATGGAGCAGGCCTGGTAGGAGGGAGCAGGTAAGTCCCTGGCGGAGAGAAGGGCAGAGAAATGGGGAGAAGGACTCAGGAGTAGTGGTGCAGCTGATGATAACCAGAGTGATGATAACCAGCTCTGTGCATGACATGCCTGATTGCATTTAATCCTCACCACCAGGCATACTAAGTACGGTGCATATTGTCCATTTTATAGATCAGGAAATGAAGCTTGGTGAGGAGAGAAACCATTTGTTCTAGGTCACACACGGGGCAGAGCTGAGATTCGAACCCTGCTTGGGCCGACTACAGAGCCCTCCCGCCTCTGAGCATCCTGATCTCTAAGCCCTGCTTCCAGCCCCAAGAATCTCCACAGATTTTCCCCATTACACAGATGTGGCCATGGAAGCTCTGAGTTGGCAGATGTCTTCTCATCTGGGAGGGAGAAAAATCAGGAGCTACGGGATGGAACTGCCAGCGGGGCATCCCAGACAGTTACTTAGAGCAGCTTCAAACATCTCTTGGGTTGGAGAGTGAAATCGGTCCAAGGTCAAGAGCCAGGAAGCTTGAGTTCTGTCTCTGTCACTAACATGTATGGCTTTGGGCCATCGTCACCCTCTCTGAGCCTCATGATCTTATCCTCAATAGAGTAATGGTTTGAGATGGATAACCCCGGAGTTTGGTGGCCCTGGGTCCCTGGGTCTGTGCCATCTCTGTCCGAACCAGGACAGTTTGTGGTAAGGGAGTCATTCCTTCCTTTGTGCATGCATTCATCGGAACTGTGTTTACTGAGGACCTACTGTGGGCTGAGGCCCTGGGCTGGCCTCCAGGATATAGACAAAAACACTCTGTCTCTGCCCACAGGAAGCTCAGTTTGGTGAGGACACTGACATGTAACTGGTAAGAACAATGTGGTCATCCCTTTAGTGGCCAAATATATAGATTCAGGGAGCACTGGACCAGGAGATTCTAAATCTGTGCTGGGGGCACTCTGGCTTCCTTTGGACTGAGACGTGGAGGGTGAGGAGGCATTTTCCAGGCAAACAAGGGGATTTTGGAGAGAGGGGAGGGAGAGTGTATGTGTGTGTTGGGGCACAGAGGACAGGAAGAGAAATGTTCCAGACCTGGCAGGGAATGCAATGTACAGTCCCATCTGAGGTACAAAGGACCTTGCTTACTCTGAGAATTCCCGGTGGCTCCATGTTCTGTATCCCGAGCATGTAAAATGTGTGTGTATAATGATGGAAGACAACAGGCAGGGGTCTGATTATGATGGACGCTGACTGCCTGGCACAAGAATGCAGAGCTGATCTACTAGCACTGGGGAGGTGTTGAACTTTGAGCAGGGGAGTGATCTGATCGCTGGGTTGAGGGTACTACAAGAGGAGTCCCAGAGGCCAGGAAAGCAGCAAGGAGGTTGGTGCTGCCAGGGGCCACTGGGCCAGAGCCCTGGTGGCTGGTGAGGTCTTCTGTTCATTCACTCACTCTACCAAGGGCCAAATGCCTGAGTGAGGTACAGGGGTAGAGTGGGAAAACAGCACGTGAAAGCAGGAAGGCCAGGTCTAAAGGAAGATAGGCTGGTTCTTGGACTCATTCCTTAGGGTAGAGGAGAGGCACCCAGTGGGAAATGTGGGAAAGAACTTCAGCTCCCTGGGCCTTTGTTTCTTTATCTGTGAAATGGGGAGAGTAATTATAGTTATGACAGCAATAATTTTTGAACTCCAAAACTGAGCTGTCAGAAAATTGAAATGGCAATTATTCCAAGCTCCCCTGCACCCCCCCCCCCCCCCAGTGCTAGCTAACTAGGGATAAAGGGGTTCTAGGTGCTTTACTTAAATTAACACTTAATCCTTACAGGAACATCAGGAGATAAGAGCATTATCCTCTTTTACAGAGGGTGAAGTTGAGGCCCAGAGAGGTTGAGTACCGTGCTTAAGGTAACACAGGGTTTGAATCACAATGCCACACAAGCTACCACTGCATTTTCAACACACTCCACCAAAGTCCCTCCTCTGCTGCGAGGCTCAGATGAGCTGCAGGCAAAAGGCCTCTTACAACCTGCCAAGTGCTGGGAATGTGAGAAACACCCAAGATCCCAAAATGGGGTTCTTAAGCCGAGAAAGACCGGCTTGTGAGCAGGAGCCATTTGGGGAATGCCCTACCATTCCAGAACTCGCTTTGGGCTTAGATTACGTGCTCGGAATCCCGTCCCTTCTTACTGTGACCTTGGGCAAGTCGACTCACCTCTCTGAGCCTGTTTTCTCATTAGTAAAATGGGGACAGGGACACCTCCCCGTCAGGTCTGTGGTGAGGCCGAAATTAGGTTACACAGGTAACGAGCGGGGCTCGGCGAGTGGGACCCGCTGACCTGTTAGTACTGGGCGCACTGCCCACGTCTCAGTCAACCGACGCGCCGAGCCCTTAGTGGACTCCCCGCTCCGTCCGGCGGCTCGCGGGAGCCATAGCAGGGCGACTAGGTGCCACACCCGGCCGCCCCCGCCCTACACTCCCGCGCCGGGGCCCGACCGAGTCACCTGCACGCTGGGTCCTTCCTTCCTCCCAGCGCGCCGGCGGCCGAAGCCCGACCCTCGATTCCCTCCGCCCCCATCCGCCCGCCCCGCCCGCCCTCGCGCGCCCGTCCCGTCGCGGCAGGCCCCGCCCCCGGCCCGGCCCGCGCTCCCATTGGTCCGCCCGCGGCCCCCGCCGCTGTTTGTCCCGGCTTCCCCGCCGCCCATTGGCCCTCCCGGGTCCTCCCAGGAAGTTTGAAAAAAAAAAAAAGTTTTATGGGCGGATGGAAGGGGCCGGGGCAGCGCCGGGGAAGGGAAGGGCCGGAGGAGCGGCGGCGGGCGGCCGAGAGGGGCGGCGGCGGCGGCGGGATTCCCGCGCTGCTGAGCCCGGTCCGAGAGCCCTTTCCACCTTCCTGCCTCCTGCTCCCGCCGCCCCGGGGCGCCGCCATGACGGTGAGTGCCCCCCGCCCGGGGCAGCCCCTCTGCGCCCCAGGCCGGGAGGAGAGCGACGGCCCGAGCCAGAGCCGAGCCGCTCCCCTCCTGGGCACCCCCTTCACTTCCCGGCGGCGAGAGGAGGTCTCGGCCGGAAGACGGGGCGACCCCAGAGGCGCAGGCCGGCCATCCTGCCTCAACTTCCCCCAGCCTCCTCACCTTTCCGGGCCGGGAGCCAGAGCGACCCCGAGGAAATGAGAACTCCCTGTCCTGGGCAGCCCCTTCCCCCCCGCCCCTCCGCAACTTCTGTGGGACCAGTCACGGACGATTTCGGATGGCCCTTTCCCACCTCTCCTCCAGCCCCCTTGGTGAAGACCTGACCTGATTGCCAAACTGCTGGATCCGTAGGGACTCCCAGGGCTCCGGGCAGTGGGAGGAACGGGGATGGGCCTGGTCTGGGGTGTCGCCTGGGGCTGGAGAGGCGCTCCCCGGCTCGAATGGGTCGCCCAGAGCCAGTCCTGGGAGGGCTGCCTACCCGCGTGGGCGCTAGCCCGAGGTTGTGTGGGTGAGAAGGGGCCGTCCCGTCGCACCCTGTCCGGGAGCCCGTCCTGGGATTTCTGAAGCGGAGCGATGCCGTGTTCTGTCGGGCTTCCCGCTTCGCAGCGGCGCTGAGGCCTTGGGTGGGCAAGCCCACGAGTGAGGTGGGGGACACGATGGCAGAGATTTGTCTTTCTCTTGGGAATGAACACTGCCCAAGTCACATCAATACCTGTGCCTTAATGATCATATTGGGCTCCACAGCCGAGTTCACCATTATTCCCATTTCACAGCTGGATAAACTGAGGCCTGGGGAAGGGGTGGTGGTGAGTTGCCCTAGGTTACCCTGAGCGTCAAGGAAGGAGTAGCCTCTTTCCAGGTCAGTCTGGCCCCTTGACCATGATGTTCTGGAAGGGAGGGGCGGGGCTGCTTTGGGTTTCTGGCTGGCGCCTTAGGGAGGCTCTGACAGCCTAGGCGGGTGGGGTGATGGAGTTGAGCAGGGTGTGTCTGCGCACGCGCACAGCCGTGGAGACCCTGACAAGAAGTGGGCTGGGCTGCTGGGGGTTGGCCCGAAGGGTCCCTGCCTCTGTGAGTGTGATGACCTGGCCGCTGCTTGGACTTCCTCGGCCTCCGCACATCCTGCCACCTCCCTGCTGGCTCTTCCTGTCGTCAGCAGCCTCCCTTTGGTCAGTGAGCGGAGAGGGATGTGAGGGGAGGAGCTGAGTCAGTGTCCTGGCTACCCACCCCATGCTCCCGGGCCCCCAGGCCCCGGGGAGGGTGGTTGCATTGCCTACTGGGTGCCTGCCAGATCCTGAACTGGGCGCTTTCACATTACCAGAGTTGATCCTTTAAGGTTGATTATAACTTCCCATCTAACAGATGAGAACACTGAGGTGTAGAGAGGGGAAGTAACGTGCCCCAGGTGACATAGCTGGGCCCTGGCTGAGCCAGTATTTGTAGCAAGATCTGCCCCAGCTTTCTCTCTGGGGCGAGATAAGAAACGTACACCGTTGCCTCTCTTGAGGAAGCGCATGGTGAACAAGGGTAAGGCTGCTGCAAGCAGCCTGTGGGAGCATTTGCAGGAGGGACAGCATATCCCTGTGGTGGCTGGGGGCTTCCAAAGGAAGACACCCTCCTCTTATTGGAGGACTTGGTCAGGTGGAAGTGGACTAGTGGGAAGGAACAGTGTAGATACACACACCCTGGTCATGTTTGGGGAAGGGTGAGAAGCTAGAAAGAGGGCCTGGAAAGGAGGGCCGGGAGGAGCAGTTTGGACTTTGGTCGGGGGCACTGGGGAGCCAAGAAAGGTTTTGGAGCAGAGAGGAGGCTCATGATCACCACTGACAGTGTTTGCTGGGTTCACTGTGGCTGCCTTCATGCCTGAGCCTGCCCCAGCCTGGTGTCCCTCCTGTGTCTTCTTTTTTTTTTTTTTAAAGATTTTATTTATTTGAGAGCGAGAGAATGAGAGACAGAGAGCAGGAGAGGGAGGAGGGTCAGAGGGAGAAGCAGACTCCCTGGCGAGCAGGGAGCCCGATGCGGGACTCGATCCCGGGACTCCAGGATCATGACCTGAGCCGAAGGCAGTTGCTTAACCGACTGAGCCACCCAGGCGGCCCCCTCCTGTGTCTTCTTCACACCCTTTTCCTGTCTCCTGACCCCAGCCCTGAGCTCATATCTGGAGGGAACAAGTGGTAAAGCTGCTGTGAATGGGTAAATGTTTAAAGGCTTCGGGAAGCTGGGCCTGGAGTCCAGATCTGCTCTACCCCCTTTAGCCTTAGCCCGGTGTAGCCCTGCCCTTGGAACCTCCTGCCCTAGCCACTGCCTGGCATCAAATTATATACCTGTCCACTTGTTTACTGTCTGTCTGTTCCCTGAGTTCCACCAGGGCAGGGGCCACATCTCCCCTTCGCAGCTGATTTCCTGGGTTAAAACAGTGCCTGGTGCTTTAAAAAAAAAAAAAAGTTTTTCAACAAACATTCCCTTAGCCCCTTGGTCCTGGAGGGTGAACAGCACATGTCCCTAACAGTGAGTTGCTTTTACTCTAGCCTGTGAGGGATAAGTGAATGGCTTCACGATCATCACAAATGCCCCAGAGGCTGTGGGAAGGTGGCTGGCTGGGGTGTGACGTGTACCGGGAAAGGGGCCTCGGAGGTGGCAATTAAGCTGGGTCTTCAGGCACGAGTTAGGGGTTTGCCTGGTCCCCGGTGGAGGAGGAAGCCTAGTATTTAAGCAGAGGACATGGGCTGGTGTGGAGGGCCTGGAGTCCTGATGTGTTGAGGATCAGAGAGCATATGTGGTGATGATATAAAAATGGGGTTCCCTATGCAAGGGGGAGGCCAGGCTGGAAGGCTGAGCTGAGGCTTTTGTGCCGTCAGGCAGCTGGACCTTGTTTTAAAGCCCCCTGGAGCCATCCCTGGAGGTTTGAAGCAGACTTGTGACATTAGGCCTTTTTGAGGGGTCCACCTGCCAAGCATGTGCTTAGAGGGGGCTGTGTCAGTGGTCTAGGCAGGTGGGAGGCAGTGCTGACCTGTGGCCGTGGCCGTGACCAAAAGGAGGAGAGAGCTGGTCAGTACTCCTGGAGGGACAAAGGGCAGGTGAGCTTCCTCAGGTGGAGGAAGGGTGGCTGGGCCCTAGAGGCCATGTGGGAAGGTACATCATGAGAGGTTTAAGCTAGCAGACCTTTTGACCCTGAACAGGGGTTCCCAGGTTACTGCAGGACCTTCCCTGTCAGCGGATTTAAAATCTCACATTGGCAGCCTCCTCCCCCTAAGGTCAGTGTGCCATCTAGCACCCGACATGGCGTGCAGCATGTTTGTACCAGCTTCCAGAGGGTCACTGAGCTTCTCCATGTATAGCTCGTTCAGCCCTCTCACCAAGCTTGGGGGAGGGCAGAACCCATCCCCCCATCATTTGCCACATTAGGCAGCCAGGGCTCAGGGAGGGGATGTGATGTCCTCCCCCGCCGCACTACCTCCACCCCACCCTCTGCTTTCCAGGCAGCCCTTGGGGTCCCAGCCTTTCATTCTAGTTGGGGAGCCCTTGCTCACCCCTGGAAGCCTATAGCTGATCTCCCAGCCCTGGCCCAGTTTGGTGGGCTGGGTTGTCCACTCGTACCTTCCCAGGAGCTTTCCCCTGGACCAGCACAGCAATGCCAGCTCTGTGGGCCATCCTGGATAGCCTGGCTTCTCAGGGCCAGGGGGTGGGGGTGGAGACGGCCCCCAAAGCACAGGAATTTAGACCAGGAAGGTAAAGGAGGGTAATATTTATTCAGCAGGTTTTTGCTGAGGCCTAGTCACATTGTGCCTGGCCTCGGGGTCACTGGAGGTCCCTGTCTGAATGGAGGTCACCCAGGTGATTTGGTGGCCCCAGGCGTAGCTGCCGGTCTTCAGTCTTAGCTTGGGACCACCCTAAGCAGCCTCTGGCACTTGTGGGGAGCAGGGTAAGGACGAATGGAGAGAGACAGCGGAAACAGCCCCAGGGTTTCCCAGCTCTGAGCAGAGCCTGGGTCCCCTCCCTCAGACAGGTATGCAGGGAGGGGCCTCCATGCAGGGGTGGGGCTGCTGGCCTGCTGAGATCCAGGGGCTCTGGCCCCACAGCCTGGGCCCTGGATGGCTCTGGATGTCCAGGCTGCTGGCCCAAGCCCCTATTAGGCCACTGCCCCCACCTGCGGAAGAGGAGAATGGGGAGGAAGGCAGGTCAGGGGAGGTGGCCAACTCTGGTGGCTCCGGTCTCCAGCTGCTGTCTCTGCTGCCCACCCCACTGAGCCATGCCACAGGCTCCTTCCACGCAACCAGACACCTTGGCCTGGGGAGGCTATGATGCGGCGCTGATAGGTGGGCTCAGGGCCATGGCAACAGGTGGCAGCCTCCTCCCTGCCCACAGCCCGGCCCGCCCTGCTCTCCTCCCTGCCAGTGGGCAGAAGCTGACACTGTGCTGAGGGGACCAGGACTTAGACGAGAGAGAAGTCTGCCCGTGGGCTGGGAGGGTCTGGGGGCTGGAGCCCACCAGATGGGCATGGCCAGAGAAAATGCCCAGATGAGTAGCTGCTTCATCTAGGCCCGGGGAGGGGTGGTGGTGTGTGGTACCTAGCTCACAGAACTCTGTGGAACATGCTGCAGCTGGGAGCCCCCAGACCCCGGGCCCGCGCCCCACTGAGCAGCACCCGGCAGGTAGGGCTTGCCAGGACTGAGGTCCCATCTTCCTGGCCCTCCCAGAGATCTGGAGGGCACCAGAGGATCTCTGACCCCAGCCTGGGCCTGGCTCCATCTTTCAGGGTCTCCAGGAAGCAAGGAAAGGGCAGGGCTGGTTGGAACACAGGAGGATCAGTGAGTGGGGGATGAGCGGGGGCATTAGGGCGTTTTCCTGGTGGGCCTCCTGGCCTCGTCAGTGAGAGGAACGGGACAGTTTGCTCAGCCCTGCTGGTTCAAGCTGTTCTCAGAGCTCTCTGGGATCTCTATAGGCAGAGCCCTTCTAGCCCCTCTCTCCCACTCTTCGGTGAGGAGGTAGGCTGGTGGGAGGGGAGCCTGGACATCTATGGTGGATGTGCCAGTCACCCTGCCTACCCTCTTGGCTCTCAGAGATTGTTGGGGAAAGGGGCCAAGGCTGCCTCAGTGGCTGGGGAGGCTGCCTTCATTTGGGGGTTACCTGGGCCCTCAGCCCCCCTCTCCTGGCTCCCCAGAAACCCAGTCTCACAGGACTCGGGGGCAGGATGGGTGCAGTCCTGGTTGGCTCTCCACCAGGCCTAAATCACCTGCCTCCTCATCTTCCCACAGCCCGATCTGCTCAACTTCAAGAAGGGATGGATGTCAATCTTGGACGAGCCTGGAGAGGTAGGAGGGCTCTAACAAGAGGGGACGGGTTGGCCTGGGCAGCTTCAGCACCCCACCAGGTCCCTGGGGGCAGCCCAGCAGGCTGAGCTGCTAACACGGCTTGTCTAGGCTTCTGGAGAGCCTGGCCTCTGAGTGGAGGAGACCCAGGTGGGCCCAGAGTGGGCACCTTGAGTGCGGGCGTTTCTTGTGCCGTCGCAGTGGGCCTTGGGCTGTGGGGGTGGAAAGGCAGAGGCTACAGTCATCTCAGGCTGCTGGAACAGTCTGTAGGCATGTAGGGCAGCAGGAGTAGAGGCCTCCTAGCCCCTCACGCCCTACACCCCATCCCCTCGTGTCACCGAGAGCCCCTCGGCCCTCTTGCCTCTTGATGATGCTGGCTGGGCCTGAGGGTCTGGGGTGGGAGGGCTCAGAGAGATCAGCTGGCCTGAGACATTACAGATTCCCAAAGACTCAGCCATGCAGGAACCTCTCCCGCGCCCCCGAAGTGGGCCTCAGAGCATTGGCTTTGAAGTCTCACCAGCCTGGGGCTCCACAGTCGAGCCACAGCTTCCTCTGGCCTTAGGAACCACATCTATGGAATAGGCATGATGGATCATGACGATTCTTTCCAGGGTGGACAGCAGGGTCGGAGAGGCTGAGCCGTGTAGGGTCCCTGCCAGAGCTCAGCTAATAACCCTTCCCTTTCTCTAATGTGTCCATCCTTAGAACCAGGAGGGACAGTGGCCTCTCTGCCCATTCAGCTGCCAGGCTGGCTGGAGTCTGGGAGCTGGAGCTGGCTTCCTGCCTGCTCAGCCTGGGAGGGGACGGCTCCCCGCTCTGTCCTGCATGCGTCCGTGGCTCAGGTCTGCGTGCAGCCCGCATGCTGGGGAGGGCTCAGAGCCAAAGGGAATCTCATTGTGTTTCCTACCCACATGTTTTATTCCCTCCAGCCCACAGCCTTCCGTTCCTGCTGCCTGCTCGCTGGTCCTCTGGTGGCTGCGCTCCAGGCTCACACAAGGCCTGGAACCCTGCCAGTGACCCTTCCCAGCCTCCCCACCCAGGGTCTCTGGAGGGCAGAGATGATGGGCCCCACCCAGAACTGGCCGCTACTCATCTTCTTTCGCAGGGTTTTGGAATGTCCACACTGGAAGGGCCCTGGGAGTTCAGCCAGCCCAGCCCCTTGGTGCATACAGGCAGAGGACAGGCCCACAGAGCTTCCATCTCTTTGGGCCTAGTAGCCCCTTCGGTAGACCCAGGCCTAGAACTTGGGCTGCCTAAGGCCATGGAACTCCATCTGGCTCCTGTCTCAGCCATCATAGAGTAGGCTGCAAGGGCCAAAGAGACCATTTGGCACAGAAGCCCTGCCCTGCTTTGTAGAGGGACAGTTGAGGTCCCGAGTGGCAACCCGGGCCACTCTTAGGACGATCCCCAGTAACCTGGTGCTTGACCCTATGCTAAGTGCCACGAGAAACATACCAGGCAGGGATAGACACTTCTAACCTCCCAAGAAGGCTTAGGGACTTCTTATCAGCCCTACTTGACAAGTCAGAAAAATGAAGCTCAGAGAGGTCGAGATACCCGATCGAAGACACACAGCCAGCAAGGGATAAAATAATTATAACCTAGGTCTCTTGGATGCTAAGCCCTATTTCTTAGGGGAGGCCATGTGGAAAGAAGTCGCAAGTGTCATTCTGCCACATCCTTGAAAACTTGCCATCTTCTTGAGGAAAGAAAACTAAGTATTTAGAATAAAGTGAATAGAGTTTGGTGATGTGGGAGAGCCCCAGGAGGGCTGAGGACTGGGTGGCATGTGCTGACCCTGGGAGTGGGTGGACCTCGACTGGCATTCCAGTGAATGTCCAGAAGCCCAGAGGTGGGCTGAGCTTGGCATATTTAATATCAAGCTGTTCTGGCACCCCTGCCCTCCCCTCTGTGGCCTGCCGACCTAACCCCAGCTGGAGCAGAGAGGTGCTGCAGAAAGGGGCCCAAATCATAAACGTGCGGAGAACGTTCTCACAAGCTGAACACATGTGTAACCAGCACCTAGCTCAAGGAGCAATAGGACCAGCGCTCAGACATCACCCCCAGGCCACCTTCCAGTCCACTCTGGGTCCCTTGTCCTTGGCTACTGAGGTGATCCAGAGGGCCCTGGGGGAAAAGACGTGCAAAGTTCTGCTCCCTGACTTGCTAGGCAAATGACGTTACACAGGTCACAACCCCTTCCTGGTCTGTACTGGAGGGGGTTACTAGTAGGAGCCTTGGTGATCCCGATGGAGAGGGTCAAGAGGGCTACGGGACTGTCAACACATGAGAGAAGGGCTCCCAGAAGGAAAGGGAAGGTGTAGGCACTGAGAAGTCAACCCATTTCACAAATGCTGCCCCTGGAGGGGCCAGGCTTCAGATCTGGAGTTTCTGCCTCTGCTCTGTCCCCTGCCCCCACAAGCCACCAGCGGTGTGGAAGAGGGTGCTGGGGCCCTACTATTGACCTGGCAGCACCCAGGACGGCTGCACACACCCCCCTTTCACTCCGCCCTCACCGCAGCCCCCCTCCCCTCGCTCACTGCCACCTCTCCTTCACAGTGGAAGAAGCATTGGTTTGTGCTGACAGATTCAAGCCTTAAGTACTACAGGGACTCCACCGCCGAGGAGGTGAGACCAAGTGGGAACGCTCCCTGTCCCCATCAGGTGCTGGGGGCCCTGGAAGGGGACCGGGGGCGCCCAGCGGGGAAGTGGAAGGTGTGGACCATCGTGGGCTTTCCTGCGGCAGGCTGATGAGCTGGATGGCGAGATCGACCTGCGTTCCTGTACGGACGTCACCGAGTATGCGGTGCAGCGAAACTACGGCTTCCAGATCCATGTGAGCTGCCGTGTAGCTGGGGTGGCATCGGGGCTGGGTGGGGGGGCGGTGATGGGCTTCGTGACTGGCTCCTGTCACTCATTGACCTGGAGACCCTGTCCTTAGAGCCGTCGACACCTGGCCTATCTGGGGAGGCCCCAGAGATAATTGGTGGGGGAGGGAGGGTGGAATGTTGGGGAGATCTCAGAGCCAGCTGGTGGAGGGGAGCATTGGCACCCTCCACTCATCCCTAGGCGCAGGACCTTAGGTTCCCTACTTGGGGGGAAAGGGCCACCCTCCCTGGGGTGCACAGTGGCGAGAGAGCGGGCTGGGGGCAGAGCTGGCCGTGTGGCAACCTGCCCGTGGGGTGGACTTGCAGACCAAGGATGCTATCTACACCTTGTCGGCCATGACCTCGGGTATCCGGCGAAACTGGATCGAGGCTCTGAGGAAGACCGTGCGACCCACCTCTGCCCCGGATGTCACCAAGTATGTGCCAAGCTGGACTGGGACCTTGAGGGAGGCACCTACCCCTGCATCCCTGAGTGGGGTTCTGGCACCCAGCTGAGGGCCCTGTGGCTGTACCTCCGGGGCCTCAGTTTCTCCATCATCAAAATGGAGAGAGAGCAAGGAGCATTCTTGGCACTCACCCGAAAATACTTTGAGGACCTGTGGTTTGACTGCCATTCCTTTATAGTCCCCCACATCCTGAAAGTGGGGAAGGGATCTTGACTCTTCGGAGAAGATGCCAATGAGTCAGAGGCCCCCGCTAGTGGCTGATTATCTCCGAGCCGTGGGAGCTGTGTCTGAGCCTGAGTTGGAGAGAGGGTGTGGTTAGGTAGTCTGGATGAGGAGCTCACCCCGCTGGAGGTCGCCGTGCGTGGAGGGGAGGAGGACTGAGTGAGTTGCTGGCAGAGCCCCCCACAGTATAAACCCTTGCCGCCCACGGTGGGGGCTGGGAATCGCAGCTGCTGGACAGCAGGAACGGCGTGTGGTACTGGGAGGCCTAAGCATGAGCCCCCCTACTTGGCCGTACCTTGGCTGTTCACCCTCAGGCCAGTGACTTTCTTGTCTGAGTGTCAGATTCCTCATCTCTCATGCTGAGCATGACGTCTGCTTTGTGGGAGGGCTGTGCGTGGAAGCGCTCTGTGGACTCCGGAGCACTCTGCAGCTGGGCTTCCAGTTAGTCTGTAGGCTCAGCTGCTCTAACAGAGAAGCCCCAGGCACAGTGGCATAAATAAGGGAGAGCTTGCTTTCTCTCTCCAGAACAATCCAGAGGTGTGTGATCCAGACCTGGCGGGGCAGCTCTGCGGCCCACAGCTCACACCTTTGTGTCTGGCTCAGTTCTCATGGAGTCCCTGCCAGGACCCAGGCCAGGGCATGCCCGGTCCTTTAAAGGGAACCACCTCTCACACCCTTGGGCGGAGGAATGCAGTCACATGGCCACACAGCTGCAAGGGATGCTGGGGGGGTGTCGTTTTTGGCCGGCCAACGATGTACCCAGCTATTACTAATGGAGGAAGGGGAGGACCCAGAGGTCACTGGTCACCTCATCTTTCCTATCCCACTGTGAGCCCCTTGAGCCCCGGACCTTGTCTTAAACCACACTGCTGGGAATAACGCTTTGATCACCATTGGCCAAGGGCTCTGTTTGCTTTGCACACTTTCACTCACCTGGTCCTCACATTCGTCCTGTGAGAGGCATTGTTGGCCCATGTTACAGATGAGGTCCCTGGGGGCCAAAGCGGGAACCCAGCTCTGCTGGTGCCTCTGCTGCTCAGCATGGGCCCTGGGATGCTTCTCAGGGTCTGTTAATGATGAAGCTCTAGTCCGAACCTCTAGATGGGGGTCTGGCCCCGGGCCCCGGCCCAGGGGTGGCGCTCCAGAAGTGCTTGACTCTTCACTCCCTCCCGCCTGACGAGGCTCTGCTGGCACCCTAGGCTCTCGGACTGCAACAAGGAGAACACGCTGCACGGCTGCAGCACCCAGAAGGGCTCCCTGAAGGCCGGGGAGCAGCGGGGGGGCTCTGAGGTCATCGGTCGGGGCAGCCCGAGGAAGGCGGATGGGCAGCGGCCGTCCCTGGACTACGTGGAGCTCTCCCCGCTGACGCAGGGCTCCCCGCAGCGGGTCCGCGGCCCGGCCCGCGCCCTCGACCGCCCGACCAAGCAGGAGGAGCTCGAGCGGGACCTGGCCCAGCGCTCCGAGGAGCGACGCAGGTGGTTTGAGGCCACGGACAGCCGGCCCCCGGAGACCGCGGCTGGCGAGGGGCCGCGCCGGGGCCTGGGTGCCCCGCTGACGGAGGACCAGCAGAGCCGGCTCAGTGAGGAGATTGAGAAGAAGTGGCAGGAGCTGGAGAAGCTGCCCCTGCGGGAGAACAAGCGGGTGCCTCTCACCGCCCTGCTCAACCAAAGCCGCGGGGAGCGCCGGGGGCCTCCGGGTGACAGCCACGAGGCCCTGGAGAAGGAGGTAGGCACCACCGCTGGCCTCCGGGAGCCCCCTTCCCCCGCCAGGGCCCCTCCTGTGCCTGCAGTCACACTGCGGCGTTCATCTGGCATACCTACAGTGACGGGGAGCTCACCCCTGATTCACTGTCTGGTACCTCAGACTCTTAGGAACTGGAATCTTCTTTCCTGGACCTTGGTGTTTCTTGTTTTGGGGCATTTTTTTTTCCTTCTCAGTTTTGTCCTCAGCGACCACAGAGAAGGGAGGAGGAGGGAGAGACCCCTTATTCAGCATCTTCTGTATACCTCATCCTGGCCTTGTTTCCCTGTACTGGCTCACGTAATCCTCTGAGCAGTCTCATGGTCCAGAGGGTAGACCTCGTCGCAGTTGTACTGACGGGAAACTGAGGCTCAGAGACCACCTACTGCGTAATGTAATCAGTGTCTGTGACCACAGTGTCCTGCTCCCAAACCTGTTTAGTCTTCCCTGGGACAAAGTTCTCCTGGGTCACTGACCTGGCCATCCAGGAAATTGCTGGAATGTCCCCTTTGCCTGCATTTCCACCACAGGCTGCTTCCCCTGCTCAAACCCAAAGCTCCTCACTGCCTCCCAGCACCCCCTTCCCGGCTTCCAGGTTCCCACTGACCCCCCCCCCCCAAATCCCCTTGTAGGTCCAGTCTCTTCGTGCTCAGCTGGAGGCATGGCGTCTTCAGGGAGAGGCTCCTGAGGGTGCACCCAGGTCCCAGGAGGACAGCCACGTCCCCCCGGGCTACATCTCGCAGGTGAGGCCAAGGGGCTGTTTGGTGGGGGCTGCGGGCAGGCTTCTGGTTGCCGAGGTTTCAGAGAACCGCTGATGTTCTGGGAGTGTCGCAGAACCCGTGTGAGGCATTTGATCTGCATCGTCTCATCGAATGTGCCCCGCAGGTAGCCATGGTCACTGTGCCCATTTTACAGACAAGCCACTGAGCTCTGAGAGGTTATGGGACTTGCCCAAGGTCAACTGAGCTGCAGATGTCAGAGGTGGGATTTGAGTTCGGTTCCGGCTGACTGCAGAGCCTGTGTGTGAGCCCCCCTGGGACACTCTGTACTTGGACCCCTTCTCCCACACCACCTGGGGAAGGAGAGCCAGTGGGGAGTGGGGCCTCCAGCGGGCAGGCCCTCAGGGTCACTGCCTCAGCACAGGGAAATCCCACCCATGCCTGCCAGGCCAAGGCCCTGCAGCAGGTGGCCCGCAGGATGTGGGACGCTGGGCCTGCCCGGGACAGTGGTTCTCAGCTAGGGCTGATTTTGTTCCTCTGGGGACGTTTGGCCTTGTCTGGAAACGGTTTGACAGAAAAATACGTGTGTATGTTAAGCACATACAGGCTAACGTATGTTACTGATTAATTTTACTGATAATTACTGATCAATTTTGCTGATACAAAGGAGGTTTAGGACACAGTGTACAAATACGAAACATATTGCTTTTCTTGTGAATTCCATCTATAGCTAATTGACTTTTCTCAGAATACTTTCACTGGTTTTTCCAAATGCTTGTATCCTCAGCCAACTGGCAGACGAGGATTGTTCTAACATAAATGTCGGTTGACAGTTTTGTTCATGTTAATGAGTAAAACGAGAAGACATACGTCAGAACTTTACTTGGTCAACGTCACAAGTAACTTCTTGGCCGAATTGGATAATAGTTTTCTTTTGAGAATATTCTATTTAGAATATTTTCTCCAGGTCTGTGTTCTAGTTACAGTGTGATGGTCATAAATTTGGCACTTGGAAGTTTAATCTGCATTATTAGTGTTTTCTCATCCCTTGCTTAAGTCCAGACAATCAACAATACAATAAATCAAGCCCTGATCTGTAATGTTTACCAATTTCCGTGGTGTAAATACTCCCACTATGGCTGATGTCCCTGAACAGCGAATTGGGAAGATACATGTGCTGCACAGAATTATAGAGCGTTTCCACCAGACAAGACACAGAAGACGTAAATAAACTCAAGAGCATAGGGGCGCCTGGCTGGCTCAGTTGGTGGAGCGCACCACTCTTGATCTCGGGGTCGTGAGTTCCAGCCCCACACTGGGTGTAGAGAATACTTAAAAATAAAATCTTTAAAAACAAAAAACAAAAAAACCCTCAAGAGCATAGACAATAATAAAATACAGTGAAATAACTAGGAAGTGATGAATTTTGAGTATGACCTTTGTTTTCACTGTAGTTAATTGTAAGTTTATATAATTTAACTTTTTAAATGGCTGCGCTTAACAACCATCTCACACCTCCGGTCAGCACGCCATTGCCTGAAATAGAAGAGACTGCTGGGATCCTAGGCTCTGGGCACGGGAGCCTTCTAGAGGAAGCTCCAGGGTTGGAGGTGGCTGTGTGGGGCGCCCAGGAAAGCACCAGTTTTGGGGTGGGGTCCCGGGCTGGGGCGGGAGGTGGAGGGCCAGTAGGTGTCTACAGTGGAGACCTCCGGCAGGCCAAGGAGTTGGGGTCTCATTCCCCAGACCTGAGGGGATTTGGGGTCTGACAGTGACATCAGGAAAGTGGTGTTGGGATGCAGGGGGGCTTGGGAGGGGGCAAGGGTGGTGTCAGGACCTAGGAAGGGCTGGAGGAGCGAGGGCTGCAGGGAGCTGTGTGCAGGGAGGAGAGGTGAGGACTGGGTGCCTGGGCCCCCCAGGGGCCCTGAGGCTGGTCCGCTGTGCAAGGCCAGGGAGCCCCATGGGGTGAGTGGTGTGTGGAGCAGTCAGCTGAAGGGAGACCAGGGCCAGGGGGAGTTGGGACCTGGGTGGGGGAGGGGGGCTAGCTTTGGGGTCACCTGACATGGAGAGGGGAGTGGGGAGGGACCAGTGTCGTCCAAGGCTCCCTTGAGGCCAGAGGAAGGAGTGGGTGCGGCATCTTCAGGCTGGGTGAGGCCCCACAGCAGGGCCTGAGGCAGCTGGGACACCCTTCAGAGACCCCCACCAGAGGGCTTCAAAGTGTACTCAGCCCTTGGATGCCCCAGGGGCTGCCTTTCTGGGTGGTTCCATTCACAGCCATCGGTATCTGGTATCCGAGCAGCCTCACCTGTCTGTTTTACTGTCAGAACCTGCATTAGATTCCACTAAAGTGAAGTTTGAAAGCACTGCTCTGATTGCTCAGCTTACAGGTGGGGAAACTGAGGCACAGAGAGGAGGTGAGACCTTCGAGCTAGAGGCAGACCTGTGTCTGCAGTCCAGGTTTCCTGGTCCCCATGAGGCCACTGGGCACACGAAGGGCTGTTGGCGTTTCATCCTGTTAGGTCGGGATGGGCTGGGGTGCAAATGGAATTGGGGGGGTGGAGGTGAGAAGGGAATGATAAGGAAACAGAGCCGAAGACGGGTGGAGGAGGGGCCACAGAGGTGGTGAGCGCCAGAGAAGAGGAGCGGAGCCATCTGTGTCCCTCTCTGGCCCAGGAGGAGGTGGCTGGGGAGTCAGCGGGCCCTAGAGAGGTGACAGCTGGGGAGGGGTTCCCCAGCCTGGTATCTTAGTCCAGCTGGGAGCCCTTCTTTCAGCTTGTGGGGCTTGCGACATAGGACAGCAGCTGGGGGCTCTGGGGCTTCACCTGCCGGGGCCACCATTGCCTCCTCTGGCCTCCCCTCAGCTTATTGCAGAGGGAGTAACAGGCATTTCTTGATCTGCTTTGGTCCATGTCAGAGGTGGCAGCTGGACACCTTGGGCCCTCCCGAAGATAGATCAGAGAAAGCAGCATTTGGCCTTGTAGGAGCCCCTCCTTCCTCATGGGCTGGTCCCTGCCTCTGGACCCCCTATTAGCTGCCAGGTCTGCCTACCTCATCTGGTCCTGTGAGGACAGCAGTCCCCACACCCTATGTTGCTCCCATCTCTATAGGTGGGCTTATCTTAGAGACCCTCATGAGTTGGTCTTACGGGCCCGCTTTATAGGAGAGGGCACTGAGGCTCAGAGTGGGGAAGAGGCTTGTTCAAGTTCATTCTGGTACAGCGAGGATTAGGACCCGGTGTGTGGAATTCCAAAGCCATGTTCTATTGTTCTGACTGGAGGGACACCGAGGACAGATGCAGGGGGACAGACATTACCTGCCCCCCACTCAGAACACGTGGACCTGGGACTCAGAACATCTGGCCCTTCCCCCAGACTGGTCCTTGTAGCCCCCTGGTGCTGCTGCTGGAGAGGTAGGGGTCAGTCCCCCCCCACACCGTGAGGTGCCCAATGGCATGGGGGATATACTCTTACCTGCTTCAATTTCCTCCAGGGCTCTTCCCTTTTCCTTTTTCATGATCTTAAATTTAATTACATAAAAAATATGTTTACATTTTCAAAAATAATTCAATCTAATCAAAAGGTTAGAAATAAACACATGAGCTCTTCTTCCCCTGCCTGCTCTCCCCGCCCCAGGCGTCACCTTGATCACCCTTGGAGTACATCCCTAGAGTTTCCTTTTGCTGTTGGAACAAATCACCACAACCTTAGATAACATGGGTGTATCATCTCCTGGATTTGAAGGGGAGCAGCTTAACTGGGGTCTCGCTGGGCTCAAATCCTTTCCACGGGCTCCAGGTGGGACCTGTCTCCTCGCCTTCTCCAGTGGCTTATGGCCACCTGCATTCCTGGGCTCCTGGCCCCATCCTTCGTCTGCAAAGCCTGCAGTGGAAAGTCTGGTCCCTTCACTTCCCACAGTGAATTATCACTGACCTTTTCTTTTTTTTAAGGTTTTATTTATTAATTTGACAGAGAGAGACACAATGAGAGAGGGAACACAAGCAGGGGGAGCGGGAGAGGGAGAAGCAGGCTTCCTGCGGAGCAGGGAGCCCGATGTGGGGCTCGATCCCAGGACCCTGGGATCATGACCTGAGCTGAAGGCAGACGCTTAACGACTGAGCCACCCAGGCGCCCGTATCACTGACCTTCTGTGGCCACTTCTCCCTCTCTGCGCTCCTGCCTCCGCTTCCGCATCTGAGGACCCTGTGACTCCATTGCGCCCAGGGGATAATTCAGGATAGTCTCCCTATTTTAGGGTCAGCTGATTAGCAACCTCAATGCCCCTCTGCCACGTAAGGTAACATATTCAGAGGTTCTAGGGAGTACGACGTGGGCATCTCTGGGCGCCCCTACTCTGCCCCCCACTGCATCTTCCCATGCCCTTCGCTGTGTTTGACATGCGTGGACTCGGATGCGTGGCTCTGTGTTGTTTCCGTGAGTGGGATCGCACCATACATGTCAGAGACCAGCTTGCGTCACCTAACTTTTGGGACACCTTTCCAGGGCAGTCCACGTGGGCAGCTCTGTTCTTCACCAGCTGCCTGGGGGCCTTTGTAAGGCTTGATCCCATCATTTAAGGGCTCCCCTGTTAGGTGTTGTTTCCGGTTTTCATCTCTTACCAACCTTACTGTAGGGAATACCCCTGTCCCAGAGTCTTTGTACACATGTGACTTTCTGTGGGGTCAATGGGGGGGTTACTAAAAATGTGATGACAACGCCCAGGTGCCCCCCCCATGCACCTGTCGCAACTGACTCTCCCAAGCACGACTGTTATCAGTCTTTGAAACACTTGCCAGTCTTGCCTACAGGCCCTATTTTGTGATGTCATCAATTTCAGCTCACTTTCTCAGCACCTGACAGATGTTAGGCTCTGGTCCGGACCCTGGGGGGCTCCGAGCTGGATCAGGTCTTCCCTCTCTTTGGAGAACTTACAGTCTGGCAGAGCCAGAGCCTTCGGAGGCAGGGGAGAGGCTGTCCAGAGATAGAGCGGGGAGGACATTAAGCTGGACTGCAGGCCAAGTTCGTTACCCTGGAAGAGAAAGTTGCAGAAGAACATTCCAGGCAGAGGGCTTAGCCTTAGCTACAGCTCAGAGCTGTGACCATGCCATGAATTATTTCTCCTAACTGGAGTTCCTTGGTGGGGAAAGGCCCAGCCTGAGGCCATGAGGGTCAGACACAGGAGCAGGGACTTGACCCCACTGGATAGGAGCTTCCGAAGGGTTGGGAGCAGGAGAGTGACAGGGTGAGGTCTGTGGACCGGGGAAGCAGGGGCAGGTGTGGTCGGTGGTACGGGGCCCCAGGGAGGAGAGGTGGAGATGGCCGGCCCGGGACGGGCCTGCCCCTGAGGCTCACCGCCTGGGGCTGGAGAAGGGCCACCGTCCGGGCAGCGGGGGCAGCCCCGGGACGAAGCTGGCCTCCCGCCCGCAGGAAGCGTGCGAGCGCAGCCTGGCCGAGATGGAGTCCTCACACCAGCAGGTGATGGAGGGGTTGCAGAGGCACCACGAGCGCGAGCTGCAGCGGCTGCAGCAGGAGAAGGAGTGGCTCCTGGCCGAGGAGACGGCAGCCACGGCCTCAGGTGAGGACCCCGGGCCCCACGAGCCTCTCGCTGCAGCTCCTCGCTGAAATCGGGGAGGACTTTAAATAAGGGGGTGGTCTCGGTGCCAAACTTGGGAAAGGGGTCTAGGAGGGAGTGGAGTCCCCAGAACTGGCCTCTTCCTACACGAGAAGGGGAAGCCGAGGCAATCAAAGCCCCCCCCAACCCCCATGTCCTCCTGGGTTGTGACTCCTCTCCCTCAGGGGCCTGCAGCCACTGGGGATCTCACCCTAAGGCGCACGCATGCACACATGCACACACGCACACACTGAGCTCCAACTCCATGCCCACGTGTGCACCGTTTGCTGGGTAGAGACTGCTCAGCTGCGGACCGGGGGTTGGTGGGGGGAAGGGCCAGACCCTGGGGAGGGCCGGAGCAAAGCTGTGAGCTGTTGCTAAGCCCCGTTCCCCACACAAGCACCCTTAGCTCCTTGCAGTGCCCGATGGAGGGACCCCATTTCATAGATGAGGAACTGGGGCTCAGAGAGGTTAGTGACTTGTCCCAGATGGCACAGCTTGGAGATGACAGAGCCGGAGTTGGAGCTCAGAGCACCCTGACTGCAGAGCCGGTCCCTGAAGCCCACCCTCTGCTCACCCAAGCCAGAAACAGGAACGCCCGAGATGTTCGACATCTCCCTCCCTCCCTGTGTTCCCTGCGCAGCTCCCGTGTGGGCCTGGCACATCCTAAGCACTCCCATGGGGTTTACAGAATCAAAGGAATGATGAGAGAAGTCACTTGATCTAGAACTTCCCACCTGCCAGCGCTGTGTCACATGCTTCACGCACGCAAGCCTACGGCCTCTCATCCCAAACCCTGGAGCCGGTGTGTCCTGCATTTTAGGAAGATAACCTAGTACACCTATTAGATACCCTTCCCAGCAGAGTCTGGGCTCTTCCCTGAAATATAGCACTGAGACTTTCACGGTGAAACTTCTCAGAGTTACGCTTAAGTGGGCTACGACTGACCGCAGATAGCCTTGCATCTGTTCAGGTCAGGGATTGCCACCGAAAGTTATGAAAAGCTTCCAGTGTTCTGAGCCTTTGGATTTTAGAATTATGGATAAGATTATGGACGACGGCTTGTTTAATCCTCCCAACCACCCTGTGTGAGTGTGAAAACACTTGGTCCTTGGTTGCTCACAGTCTGGAAGATAAGCCAGCGGAATCTCTCTGCACATCTACTCTGGGCCAGACATTGCTCCAAATGCTCTACACAGGTCTTCCAATAACCCGCAAGAGAAGGTGCTGTTGTTCTCCCCGCTTTCCAACAAGGGACCCGAGGCACAGAGGGGTTAACTCCCCTGTGAAAAGTCGCACAGATTTGTACCAGCTGCAGTCCCTGCACTGGGTACGATCAGCGGGCTGGGCCAGGGAGCTTGGCCTTGTGAAGGAACCGTCCAGGCTCTGCAGGGGTGGTGGGCTGTGTGGGGTCCCACCTGGATGTCACTGACAAGAGGTCAGGTCCTGAGGTGTCTGCCCAGCACTGTCCCACCCCAGCAGACGGATTGGTATCCTCCCTTGATAGGCTCAGAGAGGTCGAGCAACTTCCCCAAAGCCATGCAGTTCCTGAGACAGCCTGGTCCAGTGCTCTTAGCTTCTGTCTGCGTGGTGCATGTGGGGTCTTGGGGGAGGTGGAGCCTACTGCTGCTGACCCCTCCCCAAGCTCCCCTCATGCCTCTGCCCTGCTTCTTCTAGCCATCGAAGCCATGAAGAAGGCCTACCAGGAGGAGCTGAGCCGGGAACTGAGCAAGACACGGAGTCTCCCACAGGGCCCCGATGGCCTTCGCAAGCAGCACCAGTAAGATGGCACCTGGACTCTGGGGTCTGTGGGCTGGGCCTCATTCTGAGCGAGGGGCTGCCCACCCCGGTGTTCATGAGGCAGGAACCTGTGCTGAGGTCCCTTGGCAGAGGATACAACACTTTGCCCCCAGCTGACACTCCCGACCCAGTCACCGGGCACAGGGGACAGAGGCAGGGGGCCCTCAGCCAGACCCCCATGCCAGTCCACATAGATAGTCCTTTAGGCCCCTTCTTGTCCAGCTGGTCTCAGCCTCTGCGGCCCCTGGTTCGTGTCCCCTAGAGCTGGGCTGCAGTACCACCCTTGGCCACTAGGTGTCCCCACCGCAGAGGACAGCTCTGGACCGTTAGGGCTCTAGAGGCCTTGGAGGCTTAACCCCCACCTCATCGAGGCGTCACCGGCAGCCCTAAGAGGCTGTCACCAGTTCACAGCCCCCCCAGTGGGCTGAAGGCAGAACCAGAGCAGGAGCCTGGAGTCCTGAGCTGCTTTGAGCCTCCCCCGAGCCGAGCCCCCTGCCATCCCTGCCCGCCCCTACCCCGGACAGGTCAGACGTGGCGGCGCTGAAGCGGGAGCTGCAGGTGCTGTCCGAGCAGTACTCGCAGAAGTGCCTGGAGATCGGCGCCCTGACGCGGCAGGCCGAGGAGCGGGAACACACGCTGCGGCGCTGCCAGCAGGAGGGCCAGGAGCTGCTGCGCCACAACCAGGTGAGCCCGGCCCGGGGCGGGGGCGGGGGCGGGGGCCCCGGGCGCAGCGGTCCTTCGTCTGCGCGCTGACCGTCCCGGGCCTCCCAGGAGCTGCACACCCGCCTGTCAGAGGAGATCGACCGGCTGCGTGGCTTCATTGCCTCGCAGGGCATGGGTGACGGCTGTGGGCGCGGCAGCCAGCGGAGCTCCTGTGAGCTGGAGGTGAGCGCCCACCCCGATGCCAGGCAGCCTGGCTGCTGCTCTGCACCCCGACGGGCTGGGTGTGCCCTGCGGCAGGGAATGGCACCGCTCGGTGGGGCCGGGCCCCAGAGGGGGAGAAGCCAGCGCAGCTGGGATGGGCACCTGGGACAAAGCCCTACCACCAGAGACCAGCCCTCCCATCAGGGGCCTACCACCGAGCTGCTGGGTGACCATGGCAAGTCACCCCGCCATTCTGAGCCCCAGGAGCTCCTTGGTAAAAGGAGGCTAGCATCCCCCTTACTGGGGAAAGTTGGAGTGAGAAAATGTGTGTGATCCCCGATCCCCTAGTATTTTATTTTATTTCATTCTATTTTATTTGATTTTATTTTATGAAAATTTGTATACGGCTTTCCTCTGTGTCTGGAATGTCTGTAAATTAACTCGTTGAATCCTCGTGACAATCCTACGAGGTAGATACTGTTTACTGTCCCTGTTTACAGATGAGGACACTGAGGCGCAGGGAGGTCAGGTACCTTGCCTGAGGTCTCGTGGCTCGTCAGCGCAGGAGTTGGGGTTTGAACCTGGCAGTCTGGCTCCAGAGTCGAAGCTTTTAAGCCTCCCCAGTCCTGGCCGAACCTATCTCTGATTTGGTCAAGTCAGAATAGCAAGCCCTGCAGCTCAGACTTTGGGGAGGGGTTCGTGAGGTATTTCGTAGGGAGGCCCGCACTCTCTGGCTCCCTGGAGGTCACCCTCTTTGCCCTCACGTTGAGGGCCGGGTGCTGTGTTGGGACAACAGCAGAGGTGGTCATGAGACACCCACTCACTGTGTGGACAGAGGTGAGAGAGCCGGAAGCAACCAGGGCTTCCTGGAGGAGCCTGGCCCTGGGGTGTGGTGGGTCTTGGTGCAGGTTGGGAGTTACAGTCCGGGGGCCTGAAGCAGAGAGAAGCCGGCCTGCACGGTGCTGTGGCCCTGGGTCAGCCCGGCACCCGTGACCCTAGGTGTTGCTTCGAGTGAAGGAGAATGAGCTCCAGTACCTGAAGAAGGAGGTGCAGTGTCTCCGGGATGAGCTGCAGATGCTGCAGAAGGTAGGGTCTGACTCAGAGCTTGTGGGCAGGGAGCCTCTGGACGCTCCTCAGTGCCCCATCCCATGAGCACCTGCTCTGTGCCAGCCACCCTCCTCACCTCCTCGTTCATGGCTCTCCTCGCATCTCTCCCTCGTAGGTGTCCTTGTCCCTATTTACAGACAAAGACACTGAGGCTAAGAGAGGGTGAGTGACTTGCCCACGGCCACACTTGCTTTATTTAGTCAGCAAATACTTATCGAGCACCTGCTGTATGCTGGGCACTGTGCTTGGTGCTGGGGAGACAGCTGTGAACAAAAAAGGCCCGAGGCCCCGTGAAGGGGCGCCCGCGTTCCAATGAGGAGTGAGCCGTGTGGCTGGCGGTGGGGAGGGCCAGGATTTGGGCCCAGGGTTGTGAGTCTGCGGCCTGCCCCGTGCCATGTCCCTGTGTGTTTGGCACCCCCGTGTGTTGGTGGCTCCGTGAAGATGTGTGAGTCAGACTCACAGAAGGGGCCCCAGCCCCGGGCCAGGCTGACCTGGTTCGTGCCCTGGCCACTCACTGCCAAGTGGTCTTAGACAAAAGCTTCCCCTCCCTGAGCCTCAGCTCCTGTCTCGAGGGACGAAAACGATGCTGGAAGCCATCACTGGGCCATGCTGGGAGGGTGCACCTAGGCCCGGGGATGCCGAGGGGCCACCGGGAAGGACAGGCCACTAGGCCATGGAGGGGCCTGGTGGCTTTGTGCCGGCCGGCAGGGAGCATGATGGGCATGGGCCGGGTCGGCAGGGCCAGGAAGGGGGCCTCCATGCCCTCACGGCTCTCCTGCGCCCTCCCAGGACAAGCGCTTCACCTCGGGGAAGTATCAGGATGTGTATGTGGAGCTGAACCACATCAAGACCCGGTCGGAGCGGGAGATCGAGCAGCTGAAGGAGCACCTGCGTCTCGCCGTGGCTGCCCTGCAGGAGAAGGAAGCCATGCGCAACAGCCTGGCCGAGTAGAGGTGAGAGCCACGGGGTGGGCAGGGCCGAGCAGGGCTGAGGCCTGGTGGGGCACTGGGCCTGGGGAGGTGAGCTCAAGGCTCGCCCACACCCGACTCACGGTGCCACCTCACCCGGGACGCTCCCTTCTCATGGCTTCTGTTTCCCTTTCTGTAAACGGGGACAGCGACACTAGCCACATGGGGTGGGGGGCTGTCAGTGGGTCAGACTCAGCCAGAGGCTGCTTTGTAAACCTGAGCGTGTGTCTTCAGAGGTGGGGGGGCGCAGTTCAGGGCCCGATGATTGCCACGTGCCCCCCCGTGGCAGCAGGCACTTAACGCCGCGCCCCACCCGCAGGCTGATGAGCCCACACCCCTCGTCAGGACCCCCCCGTGCCCTTGCAGGTCCAGCGTGCCTGCCCCATCTTCCGAGCTGGCGGCATGGCGCGGGTCACTGATCAGTGACAGCGTTCCTTCCCCCGAGTTCCACGCCTCTGACATCCTGGGTGGAGCTTGGCCCCCTGACTTAGTCTTTGATTTCCCAGGCTTCAGAGCGTTCCGATGCTGCCTCTCCTAACGCCCCATCCGCCGGGGGCTGCTGCTTTCGGACCGATCCTTGGGGACTGCCTGAGGCAGTCGGGAGAGGCCACCCTGGGGGCCAGGCTATGTGGGGAGAAGCCCGGAGGAGCAGGCGCAGGTCTGGCCCAGCCTTCCGGGCCACCCTTGCCTGGCTTAAGCACGCAGCTCCCCGACTCTTGTCTTCCAGGTCCTGGTGGCCCAGCCCCGCGGCAGACCGTCCCCCGGCCTGAGGGGGCCAGTCAGTCGCCCTCCTTCCTGCTGGATGGAAGTCAGAAGCCAAGCTTTCTCCCCACCCTCTGTGGGCCGCACGTGCACTCATACCCACCACACACAGACACACACACACGCACGCACACACACACGTATGCACATACACACACACACACACTCTGCGTATCTGAGCGCGCCCCTCGCACTGGGTCTTACCTTGCACCTTCTTCAGGATTTTATATGTGAAGAGATTTTTATATAGATTTTCTCCCCTCCCTTTTTTTTTTTCCCCAAAAACACTTTATACTTTGAAGAAAGCAATTCCTGGTGGCCATGTGCCTCCATCACGGGCTCCCCCTCTGGCCCTAGCCCCCTGCTCGGGCTTCTGGGCCCGTGGCCCTGCCCCAGGGGTCTAGCAGAGCCCCAGCAGCGGCCGGGGCAGGGTGGACTCTGGTGGGAGAGGCGGGGAGCCAGCCACCCTCCTCCTTCCCTACCTCCCACTAACTACTTCCTGCCCTGAGGCGACCACACCTTGGGACTCTGGACAGAGGGACAGACGGACAGAGGGAGCCGGCAGCTGTCCCTAAGGCCTCACCTCCTCCTCCTCCGAGGGGGTGCTGGGCGTGGAAACGCTGGAGCCGCGCATGAAGGCTCCTCTCCTGCTCCACGAGCCTTCTTAACTTAATAAAATGTTCCTGCAGCTCTGGTGTCCAGGATGGCGGGGGCAGGGCGGGTTGTGGAGGTTGGGGCCTCACCACCCACGCCCCCCCAGCACTGCACCCTTCCTGAAGGGAAAGGGAGGCCAGAATCTAGTCCGGCCGGCCAGTGACGGCTTTGCAGCACCACGTGGGGCTTGCCGACCAGCAGCCGCAGCAGGGTCACCAGGGAGCTGGTTAGAAGCACAAGTCCGGATCCGCCAGTGATTCACGTCGTCTCCAAGTCTGAGAAGGCCTGAAGTGGGCCCTAGGCCCAGGCCTCGGAGGAAGGACGGGAGCTGAGGCTCTGCCCCTGATGACCTTGGGCAAGCCACGCCCCCTCTCAGCCTTCGTTTGCTTCCCCGTCAAATGGGTGCCTTTCGGCCCCAGTCCTATATTGAGGCTGTGCCCAGAGGTCACGTCCACCCTGGTGGATGTGGCCACCCCAGGCCCACCAGGCTGGAGGCCTCATCCCCCAGCTGGCTGGTTGTGCTCTGCTGAACCCTGGTCCTGCTCGTGAGCGACTGCAAGCCCAGCGCGGGCGGTCCGATCTGCAGGGCTGTGGCCAAGATGGGATGACGAGTGAGCCAGCCTCGCCCCCCACAGCTTTTCCCATCAGTCCGGCCCGGGTACTGGGGAAGCTGATCAAGGACTGACTGGCCCTGCCCCCACCGAGGCCACAAAAACAGGTGGGGTCCCAGACGCTGTGGGATCTCAGAGGCCGGAGGCACCCGGAAGAGACCCCACCCAGCCTGCGGGTAGAAGAGGGCTTTTGGAGGTGACTTTGAAACAGGTCTTTTCCAGATAGAAAAATCAGGAAGGGCATTTCAAGTGAGGGAACAGCATGAGCAAATGCCCTATAAACATCCCCAGTGTGTTCAGGGAAAGGCCCGCAGGGGAGCAACTTTGTAGGCTTGTGGGGAAAATGTACCCCTTCCCTGGCCAGTGATGGGTTTAGGAATGGGCCTGGGAGGCAGTTCCAGTCAGTGAGATGCGGGGGGATGTCTTGAGTGGGGGTGGGGGGCTGCAAACGTCCGAATGAATGAGTAGATTGTGGGATATTCATACTCAGCATACTACACGGTAATAGGAAGGAACGACTGCTCCACACAAAAAACACGGATAAATCCTCCCAGATAATGTTGAGTAAAAGAAGACACAAAAGAGCATACGCTATACGATTGCATTTATGTGAAATTCAAGAACAGACCAATCTGTCACTGTGGGGGTGGGCATCACAACAGTGGGGACCTCTGGGCCGGGGCAGGGGCGGACACGGGCTAGCAGTGAGCACAGGGGAAGTTTCTGGGGTGCTGGGAATGTTCTAGATCTTGATCTGGGTAGTGGTCACAGGGGTGTATATGCAGTTAAAATGTCCCCTGCTGTACACTTAACAATCTGTGTGTGAATCCTGTCTGTGGTGGAAAAGCTGGGGTTCCAGCGGGTGCCCAGGTGAGCTGCTCTGGGGAAAACCCAGTGGCCTGTCACACAGGGAATTTGGACCAAACCATGTGATGGGGCTGCAAGGTGTGGTCTCAGGCAGCCAGGCATGTGCTGTGGAAAGAGCAGAGGCTGAGGTACCAGACAAACCTGCCCGGGTTTGAACCCCAACTGCTGCCTCCAGCTGGCTACGTGAGCCTCACTGAGTCACATCCCTCTCCGGGCTTTATTTCCCCATCTGTTAAATGGGGACAATAATGTCTATCCCGGAGGGCTGTTCAGGTACAAATTACCAACTGTTCCAATGATCTATTGTGGTTTAACCAATTACCACAGACCTCATGGCTTAGAACAAGCTTTTTTATGATCATTCATGGTCCTGTGGATGGCCTGGGCTCGACTGGGCAGTTCTCATGGTGTCTTTTTTGCAGTTGCTGTCAAGTGGTGGCTGGACTGGAGTCATCTGAAGGCTCCGTTGGGTTGGACATCCAGGATGGCCTCTTCACTCATAGGTCTGCGGCCTCAGCTGGGTGGCTGTGAAAGCTGGTGGGGGGAGGGGGGCACTGGACAGCTCTCTCTCTTTCTCCACGTGGCCACCTCATGTGCCTAGCTTGGGCTTCCCCACAGCATGGCGGCCTCAGGGCAGTCTGTAGTCTGACTTACATGGTAGTTGACTTCCCTAAGAGAGAGTTTCAAGAGACCAGGTGCAGTCTACAAACTTCTCATGACTGAGGCTTGGAAGTGTTGTGGTATCACGTCTACCACATTCTATCACATTAGCCAAAGACAAGTCACAGGGGGGCGCCTGGGTGGCTGAGTCAGTTAAGCGTCTGCCTTCGGCTCAGGTCAGATCCCGGGGTCCTGCTCGGTGGGGAGTCTGCTTCTCCCTCTCCCTCTGCCGTTCCCCCTGCTTGTGCTCTCTTGCTCTCTCTCTCTCTCTCTCTCTCAAAAAAAAAAAAAAAAAAAAAAAAGTCACAGGGCCAGCCCAGATTCAAGGGGAGAGGCCAGCACCAGGGCATGAATGCTGGAAGTGGTTCCTTGGGTGCCATCTTTCTTCCCCACTCCTGCTTCTCCCCCTCCCTCTCCAGCTCCTACTTCTCCGTCTCCTTAGAGTTCTGTTCTTCTTCCACGCAGCCCTGTAATTGTGGAGGTCCCCCGGGGTCTGTCCCCAGTTGTGCCGCCTTCTCCCTGTTCTCCTGTGACAACCTTGATGGCTCATCCTTGGCTTTTGTCTGCCTCCAGCTCAGACCTTTCTCAGGAACTCCAGACCTGAGCAGCCTCAGTCTCAAGGCCACTGTCAAGGCTTTGTCTTCCCTCCTACCTGCTGTTCTTCGGTTAGTTACAGGGAGCCGCAGTTCACACAGAGGATGCAGCAGACCTGGCCTGAGAGGTCAGGGGAGGCTTCTTAGAGGAGGGGGTGCTGGAGCTGAGCAGGAACTAGCTAGGCTAGCAGAGCAGAGAGCGTATTCCAGGTCGGGGGAACATCATGTTCAAAGGCATTTAGGAAAGTGAAGCCCATTCAGGCACAGGGCAGGTGGGTTTGGCTAGAGGGATGCATAGAGGGATCCGAAATGAACCCAGAGGGAAGGCCGGAGCTATAATCTGATCTGTAAGGACAGTGGGGAACATGGGTCCAAGCTCTAACTTCATTCTTAACCCAGTGGGGAGCCACAGGGGCGTCTTAGGCGGGCAGTGCCCTGGCTCAGGACAGAGGTCTGGGTGAAGACGGGGGTGTGGGTATCCTCCGCGTATGGAGGCTAGTGAGGGCTGCGGGCTGGCCGAGGGGGTGGGATGTAGCAGGGGGGCAGAGCGGAGGACAGGACTCCCGGAGGAGCAGAAGGTAGGTCCACAGCAGCCGGAGGGTGCGAATGCTTCCAGAAGGGAGTGGCCAACGGGGGCTGGACGTAAAGGTCCACGAAGAGGCCACTGATTTTTGTCGGGCCACAGGAGGTAGGCAGCTGTGTGGGGGACGGGGTGCTGTCGGGGAGGACAGAGTTTTGTCACTTGCTTGACACCAACGAGTCAGACTCTGCCTCCCTTTATGGAGCTCCAGTCACCCAGCCCGCACCCCATTCAGGGCCCGGAGACCCCCAGCCACACTCAGCCCCAAGGACCTGCCGCTGCTCCAGCGGGACAGTGTCACCCCACAGTGGCCCCCTCAGGAAGCGCTACTGATGCAGACCTCCCCCCCCCACACTCCCATCCTCCCTCTTCTCCCAACTGCCCCTGCTCCGAGCCTGGACGCGCCTCCCTAAGCCGGCGCAGGCCTGCGGGAGGCAGGAGTGAGATCTCAGTCCGGGCCTCCATCCACCCCCATCCATCGGCAGCCAGGCGCCATCCCCTCCTTACTCCTAGCACTGGCCCGTCTGGCAAGTTCTATAACTTTTCTGTGCCTTGGTTTCCTCACCTGCAGGTTGGGGATAGTAGTGCATACCTCACAGAACTGTGTGACAATCCGAGATGAGCTGATACGTGTAAAAGGCTGAGCAGGGGGCCAGGGCCTCGCAGCCCAACACAAATGCTGCCTAGGGCTCTCACAGGCGGTGGTTATCGTTACGGATTCGCCGAAACAACAGGAAAATGCAGGGCCCAGGGCCCGGAATTCAGTGGGTAATTCAAAAACAGCAGCTATTATTTTGTGGTTATTAGAAGTCAGCTGGATGCCCCTTCCCCTGCCCTCCCCAGGAGGTCTGGCTAAACTTGGTCCAAACCCCAATTCCAAGGCCCGTGAGAATCCAGACCTCTTCCTTCCGTTTTGGCCGGTTCCCACCTGTCGCTTTTCAGGGCTTCCTGAGACTTCCTTTCTCTCAGGGCAGGATGTGTTGCCAGGTACAAGGCCAGACCCTTCAGTGCAAAAAATCCTCTCGAAGAGTGTCCTGTTAAGGAGCTCCCAACAGCTCGCCTTGCACCATCTGGACGGCGGGCGGCCTAGGGGGAGTCCAGCCTGGCCAGTGGGTAGCACCTAACTCTTCCTCCGCACTGAGCCCGGCTCCCAGCTGCAGCTGCTTGTCCTTGCTCATCCCCTTCCCTGGTCCCCAGCCTCTGGTTCTTCCCCTCCTGTCCCATCCGCACCCCCCCAGCGTGGGCTTCCTAAAACAGGGAGCTGGCTGGCTGTTGCTTCCCCTCACGAAGCCCTCCCCAGGCCTTGGCAGGAGCCCCTCAGCCTGCCCCAGCGCCTTTCTCTGCCCCTTTGGGCTCCAGGCTTCCCCAAGAAGCCGCCTCCATCTCCCGAGGGTGCCCAGCCGCGCACCCGGCTGTCCTCACTGCTCTCCTCCACACGTACCTGCCCACTCCCTGCCCCTCCCCTGGTAGAGTCAGGACTCAGATCAGTCATCATCTGCCACCTCCGGGAAGCCCTCCCAGATACCCCACCCAGATGGGGCTGAACGGCTGCTCTGGCTTCCACAGCTTCTCCACTTGACATGTTCTTTGCTCTCCCAGACTATGAGACCCCTGAGGCCAGGGACCAGCTCTGATTCTCCTCGATTTCCCCAGGGCCCTGCACGGAACACATGGGGTCTCGGCCGATGCGTGTGTGTCGACTGACTGACTGACCGACTGACCG